TTCATGACTTGAATAGTGTGGTCTTCACTTTGTGGTTGTGTACACCTGGGGTCTTAGCGAGGTGAAAGCAGGGACCATTGAGTTCAAGCTTTATCATCAATAACAAGGCTAGAATCCAAACACGGACCTGAAAAGGATCCCATGCGTCACTTGCTGCATGTCCATCAGAGATCCTGTGTGCCTCCACACCTGTTTTGGTTTGTTTTCTATCAGATCATTTCTTCTTAAGATCTGCTATTTTGTGAGCCAACCACACATGGATAGTCTCTTTCTCAGTGTGGTATAAATTTTATGAAATATGGTGAAATAGTGTCATGATGTGAATTAATGTTTTTAGATTCATCTGAAGACAATAAGCTTACAAAATGTTTCATAAATATTTTTCATGTTAGTTCATTTGAGCGAACTGTACTGGGACTAATGGAGCTATGTGGATTATCAGTTCATTTGCATGTTAAGGGTTGACTGAAGTGGGACTGCTACATAGCAAAGCCTGCATTTACCCAAACATTGCTTAATCATTCTTGCCAACAGAGGGACAAAATGAATTGATCCATTCAAATTGTGGTAAGAATAAGCATTATCAGTGCCTTCCACAGAACAAAACAGACCCATTCCTGCATTTCCATCACTCCAAATTCACATCTCTCAACACAGGATTTATAACAAGAAGTCAAAGGGGTTAATATGCAAAGTAGTTTTTCCCCCTAAGAACTTATAAAAAAAAATACCCTGAGAATTTACTAAGCGTTATTTATATGTGAGAGAGACATTTTGAAATGTCAACTAGCTGAGTCTCTGGGGAGTGGTAACTCAAATGGACCCCTTGCCAATATGAATTTTCATATGGGCTAAAAAAAATATCCTTTCAAAATAACTGGAATAATATAAGCATCAGTTTCATGCTCAGAACATGTTCTAACCCCACCTGCTGCTTGGAGGAATTTTAAAAATGGCAAGATGGCTCTGTAAGTTTAAACTTGGGATATATCCCTCTGAACTAAACACAAACACAATGGACAAAATGTAATCACTAAGACATGACTGAACTCAATGAAAAAAAATTAGTGTAAATATCTCCACAAACCAGTTATGGTACAGAAGAATAGAGTGCTTGGTGGGAGTAGGGTTGAAGTTCAAGACTTGCTGGGCTCTGGAGAAGAAGCCAAACAGCTGTAAATGGAAGTTCGTTCTGATGGGAGAAAGTGATCCCGAAGCAGTGGGGCAGGAGCCAGGGTTGGAGCTTGAAGCCCAGGGCTCTAGCCATGGAACTGAAAGAATGACTGGCATATTTGGAGCTCCTACTGCAATAGACTTGGGGATGCAAGCAAATGAAGACAGAGTTTAAAGACTGGAAGGTGAAGCAAGCTTTTCCTGGGAGGAATCCTGGGGAAAAGGGTACCTAATCCAAGGCCCAGAAGTCCTGTCTACAGTGATGTCCCTCAGCACATGTGTTCTGAAGCATATATGCAGCAAATATCCATGGTAATATTCTCAGAAATAGTGGGGAAAACACCCAACCCAAGAAACATATACCAATAGAAGAACAGACAAGTAAGCCAGGATCAAGACAGCAATGAAAATCAGCAGACCAGATATTGCATCAGTATGTATGCTTCATGAATATAAAATTGAGAATAAAGAACAACTTGCTATATGATGGAGAACACATGATGCAAGTTAACAGTAGGAAGATTTCGAAAGCCTGTAAATATAGCATACATTATGTTTATATTTAATGCAGTAATACAAAGATCATGCCTGGGAGGCTGGGTAGGATGGGTAATCCCAGCTACTCAGGAAGTGAAGGTGGGTGGAGCTTGGTCCATTCTGGATTAGGGAAAAGCGGGAGAGAATCTATCTAGAAAAGAAATGAAGAGTGAACTCCTATTTCTTGCATGGGGAGCAGATTTTTTTTCCATTTATTGCTATATTATTCCTGTTCTACCAAAATAAAATCCATGTTAAAGCTTCCAAAAATAAATTTACAAAAACAAATTAAAAGAAAAAGGAGGAGCAGGAAGAGGAAGAAGAGAAGAAATAGAAGGAAGAAAAAGAAAGAAGTGGGCTGGGAAGGTGGCTCAGTGGTAGAGCGCTTGCCTTGCATGCCTGAGGCCCTGGGTTCGATTCCTCAGCACCACATAAGCAAAAAAAGAAAAAAGCCGGAAGTGGTGCTGTGGCTCAAGTGGTAGAGTGCTAGCCTTGAGCTGAAGAGCTGAGGGACAGCACCCAGGCCCAGAGTTCAGGCCCCACGACTGGACCCCCCCAAAAAAAAAAGAAAGAAAAAGAAAGAAGATAGAAGGAGATGGAGGAGAAAGAGGAGAAGAAGAAGAGAGAAAGAAAGGAGGAAAAGAAAGAAGAGTAGAAGAAGGCAATAACAGCTGTGGCTTAGGAATTTGAAACACCACAAGTGGACCATTATGGAGAATCAAGGGGATTCCAAACAAGACAAAATACTTTTAGAAGCTAGATGAGTTCTATTACCCATTTATTATACCATGTTGGATTTTGTAAAAGTTTATTTAAACATGTAAAGTCCACTTTCCCCAAGACCCTACTTGAATGTCAGCCTTTTGAACCCCTTGATAAATGAGTCAAGGCATTAAACATAGGATCCGATCAGGATTTTCAGCAATCTTCTTTCCAAATTTTCCAGCCAAGCATGATGTCTCTTTTATAAGTAAAAGAAAGTAAAACTAGTTCTTTAGAAGAGAGTCTTAGAATGTGCCTAACTGCAGGATCGCTGAAAAGTTTACTGACGGGACAAGGTTCTCTAAATCTGGATTTACTGTAATTTCTGGCATGATTTTTGTTAACCAATATTCTCGCCAGATGCAACTGGCATGATGCCATCAAATGTTGTACAATAGCCAAATGTTAAGATGACACATGTCCCCATGAACTGTAATATTACCAAGGTAATACTGAGTGATTCTAGTTCCAATTTATATGTATATCCATTGTATTTCCAGCCTCTGACTTCATCCTGGATACTAGAAGGACACTCTGGCATTCCCACCCTATTCTCTGCAGGCCAACATCTGGGAACCATCTCAGGTAATCACTAGATGGACTCCAAGTTGTTCCTAAAACAAATATTGAATTTCAGGTCACAGGTGCTCACTCAGTTTCCACATCCAGCAATCCTTTAATGTTCTTCCTAAGAGAAGTTTGCATTTTCCTACTTAAGCTCTTGAGACCTAAAAATCTGGTCACTATGGAAGCAATTATGTCTAGGTAAAAGACTTGGAGAATAAGATCATTTTGTAAAGCCATAGAGCGGCAGGCGAGTTGTTCTTTGACCTTCAGGCAAGGGGCAATTCTGCCTGGGAAAATGGCTAATTCTGTCAAATTGGGGAGGGCGGGAAACTTAGTTCAAGCTTCTTGGCTTATATGTTCCACAACTGTTAGCTCAGTGTCACTGTGATAAACTGCCAAAGATAAATTATGGGAAGACTTCATTTGTCTCATGGTTTCAGAAGTTCAGACCATTGTCATTTAGCTTCATTGTTTCCAAGACTTGAGGTGTGGTAGAGCATCATGGTTGTTCATCTAATAGAGCCAGGAAGCAAAATGTTATAGAGGAAGAAGCTTGGGATAAGATACAGACCTCACCAAATTGCTTCAAAGGACGTATTTCCTTCAACTAGACTCCACTGCCTGAGTTTTCACCACCTCAGGAGGCCATCATACATTGGTTAATCCATTGATGAGGTTAGAGCTCTCAGAATCCAAGTAATTTCCCCAAATGTACCATCTGGAACCAAGTTTTTAGTAGGGAACATTTTATATTGAAACCAAAATGACTCATCCATGCCAGGTTCCAGGCTTTCACTCTTTCTCTCTCAGGGCCTGGACTTTGGAAAAGGAAATCTGCCAAAGATGGGAATTTTTTCAGTTCCCTCATCCTTATAATCAGATCCTGGGCTTGATTTTCAGTAGGTTTTCCTTATGGTGACATTCAGGTCAATCTGAATGCTGCCCTGGAGACCCTCAAGTGGACAAACTTCTTCTCTACTCCTACCATTTTTCTTTTTCAGGTGAGGCCAAATACAATTACCTGCACACCGTCTTTGTTAATTTAGTCACATTTCTCCTGCAGTCAGGCCTTCCACCTGCTGCTTACTGAAATCAGGCAGAAGCAAAAGCTGTGCTATACAGTAAGACTTTCTCTTTAAAGAAAAAGGAAGAGAAAAAAGTTCTATGATGAAAACAGATCAATACTTCTACCTATAGCCTCGAACTGTCAAAAAGGCAAAGTAATGTTACTTGAGATTCTCAGGGATTGGGGGAGGAAATAATTTGGCATTCCTCACCTTCAATAGAGTGGGTAAGTGCCTAACTCCCTCTTATCTATTCTGCCTCTAAGGAAGTTACCTATGATGGTACAGGAGAGATTCCAGCAATGGAGTATCATAGCAATAAGATCTCTTCCCCTTCTAGTGTGGATGCGCTCATCCCTCCAGTGAGTTAGAAAGTGCTAAATATGGTTATTTGACTATGGTTCTCTTTTAAGCAAGGTACCCGGTAAAGCCTTAGGAAAAACCAAAGTCACTGAAAATTGGGAAGGCCAGGGACAGGAAAATGAAATTTTCAGTAGTTTTCACAAGAGGGAAAAAAAAGAATAGGGGCTGGGAAGGTGGCTCAGTGGTAGAGTGCTTGCCTTGCATACATGAGGCCCTGGGTTCGATTCCTCAGCACCACATAAGCAAAAAGAAAAAAGCCGGAAGTGGCGCTATGGCTCAAGTGGTAGAGCGTTAGCCTTGAGCTGAAGAGCTGAGGGACAGCTCCCAGGCCCAGAGTTCTGGCCCCACAACTGGACCACCCGCCCCCCCCCCAAAAAAAGAATAAAGACAAGTCCTTTGAGTAAAGTTCCAGAGTTAGGAGAAAACCTTAAAGGTCACACTGAGAGGCATGGTTGTTACCAACTTAAAAATAGATGCCTCAGCACATAGTAAAAAACAAAATAAAAACAAAATTCAAAATCAAAGAACCATGAAGCAAATGCTAAAAATAGTATTTAATAACCTTCTACACAAAGATACAAACACCACCATAGAATTGATTTTTACTTTATTAACAATGTGGCTTACATTTTTTCAAGTAAAAAGGGTTTTTATTTAGAATAAAAATTAAAATATAACTCTGATATAGATTTTCATTTATGTACATGAAAACATATATACAGAATACAATCTTACAGCAAACGAATAGCATGCCCTTTTAAAGATACTAATTTTTCTTTGATGCACTGAAATCTACACAAGATATGAATCAAACTTTAGTACAAACTATTCAAACTGGAATGTAAAACAGTAAAAGGTCTTTTAACCATCACTTTATCAAGACCATGCTAGTTACCTTCCATTCAGGACAAGTAAGATGATTACTTCATTATTTTTAAAAGTTTGCCTCAAATTTTCCATTGTTACTTTTTTCAGCAAAGGATTGTTCTAGAACTTTCCTTTTTCCTCAGTGTATATCTTCAGCCACACAAAACAATGCTATGCTTGGATTCTGTGACATGACCCACATCCTCTCAGAGGCTGAATCTTAGCTATTGCAAATAAACACAGTAGGTCTACAGCTCAGGAGACTGAGTCGTAATTTATCCTTTGTAAGAAAAATCCAAGGCAGTGAATACATCGGCAATTACAATTTTTAGATAAATTAAATGGGTCACGAATAGCACATGACTTTATCATACCATGTTTTGGATGTTTAGAAACCACACGGATGGTAAGAAGCTATGAGGTCTAATCAAGTTTAAATTTTAACTGTGTTGAAGGAGTAATTAAAAAGAACGACTCTGTAAACAGAAAAGAACAATGAGTAAGAGAGGATCTTTGAATCCTAACTGTTGTCAAGAAGAGTTTTCCCTTGCTACTTAATTATTGCACCAAAGAGACAGTGAGCAATATGGATAGCTCTCTGAAAATTTCTTCCTTACAAACTACAGATATCTTCATTTACAATTTTTCTTTTCAAAGCATTGCACACTCAGTCACAGCTTTCTAGAGACAAGAGAAAGTAATGGGAGCCTAGATTCACCATCTTAACCCAAAAGCAGCAATGTTGTCAAATCACAATAGAGATTTTCACCTACTGTCTTCTGTTTCAGTTTTATGTACAGAAATAAATATAAATGGGTGTTCCACAAAGTAAGTATGAAAACCCCTACTGCTTCCAAAACTTAAGGGGTGTAGCTCTTACAAAGGGTGTTCGGTATGAGAGAGAAAGTAAATTCACCTTTTGCCCCATACAACACTCAAAACTCCATGAGAAAAACTAGGAACTAAATTCATCTTCCCAAAGCTGAGCAAAACGACCTGCCAGCAACTGTAGGAAAGGGTAGAGGTTGCAGGGTTAAGGTCTGGATCGTTTTACTTTACTGAAGAAAACAAATCAGATCAAGCGCAGGAAATGATCTTTCCGAAAGAACCAAATAGGGCAGAAAAGTAGCTTACAGCTCAAATATCTTGTGCGATTCACACTCTGATCAAAGGAACCCAATTTTCAAAATGACAGATGAGTTCTCCACCCTGTGAAGCTTCTGGGAGGAAGGAAACCATTGTTGCAAAGAAGTTTCTGGGATGCCAACAGTACCCTGCTTTTTCCAGGCTAGGATGTTTTGTTTTGTGGACACGATATCTGACAATGCAGTACAAATACAGTCAAGAAACAAGGGTTGGAAACAAACTCTGTTAGTTTTACAGTAGAATTAGGGAGTGGACTCTGGTTCTTAAAGCTGGGGTGGCATTTCTATTTCTTGGGGTATACACTGGACAGATTGTGAGGCATCTGCTTGGTCAGTTCCAAGAGATGAGAGTAAAAATGGTGCCACCCAGAGCAGGAACAGAGGTGGGCATTTGCTGCAGTCCGGATCAATACATTTGGGGTTTATGGGTTGTGGTGGTACTGGGGTACATGTATTAAGACTCTTTCTGTGGTGCTGGTATGCGGGCTTGAACTGAAGGCTTCACTCACTTGGCTTCCTTGCTCACAATTGGTACTCTTCTGCTTGGTCCATGCCTCCACTACAGCATTTTGCTGGCTAACTAAAGATGGAATCAACTTTTCTACCCGAGATGGTTCTCAACAGTGATCTTCTAGGTTTCAATCTCCTGAGTAGCTGGGATTACAGGTGTATGCCAAGAGTGCCTGGCTTCCATCCTTTTTTTTTTCCTGTCACAAAAAAAGGATAAACACAATACAATGTATCTTAGAAAGTGGTCTTATCTTTTAGATGGGAGCTGGTGAAGCAGAAACCACTTTCCAAACCTGTAATAGAATGTGAAGATGTACATCACGAAGATAGGAATCCTTGAGAATCCACAGTCAGTAAAACACTGCCAACTCTCAGAGGAAAAAATATCTCCTTGGTTCTAAAGTGTTTCTCTGCTCTCTTGACGGGCCAGGGCAGAGCGCTCCATGGCTTGGATCTCTTGGATCTTGGATCTATCTCTTCCCTTCACCATGCTCACGAAGTTGGAGTTGACCAAGTAAGCAAGCTCAGGAAGAGAGGGAAGGAAGTTAAACTGCAAGGCTGGATCCATTTAAGCAAGATACTTCTTCCCCCAGCAATGGAGGCCATATCCTGTCTGGGCTTCCTGATGGGTAGTCCTCTAGCCCTTTGGACGACCCCAGGAGATCCCTTTCATCTGAGGCAACACTTATTCCTTCGAGCCATGACTGGAAAGCACACGAGAAGATGACACACACGCTCAGGTATGATGATCTATCCCAGTGGCAGTCCCCATGTCCTTGGCTTGGTATCGATGGCAACAGCTCAGCTTAAAAAGGTCACAGTGGAAGATCAAAGCAGTCTGGACAGAGAAAATGCCACCAATATTGAACTGGATTCCTTTCCAATTGTTGAGAAATATTGCACTCCACTGGGATGAAGTATTTAAGGCCAAAAGCATGTGTCTCTTGAGAAGACAGGGATAGGAAATTGAAGAGAGGCCAGATTGTAGTTTGCAAGAGAGATATCTGACTGCAAACGAAACACACATTACCAGAGCCATTTCCATTCTTGCAATACCACACAGGATAAACTCTTCCCACTCAAGGCTTCAGGGCAGATCCACTGGCCAAACTTTTGAAGATGGACTGTAAAAAAAAATTCAGCTTCTGGAGAGACTATGAAGTTTCAACCATAATATATTTGTGTTCCACTTAAAACTGTAACTGTTACAGGATGCTAAGCAAAGTTAGCAGGAGGAATCAAAGTTTGCAGTGCCTCTCAGCTCATCAGGTCTTAACATGGTACCAAAATATGAGCAGCTAATAAGCTCACCATACTACATGACTAGCACTGCTGATAGTCTAGGCAAAGAAATGATCAACACAATGATAGTAAACAATAAACAATAAGAAAAACAAAAAACACAGACAGATAAGAAGCCCACACCTCAGCCATGAGACCTACCACTTCTGAACAGGAAGATTTGGTTTCCATATGTAAATCTGAGAAAGCATCAAGGTGACTTTTCCATCAGAGTATTACTGTCCCTTTGGGTTTGTGGAAACACTGAACCACTCATGAGGAAACAGAGATAGAACTGCTGGGTATAAAAAAGTCAGCCAATTTTCACAGCCATAGATTTAGCAGATTTAACAAAACTGCTTTCATAAGCAACCTCAAAGCCAGAATGGAATAGAGGAAGTACAGTGTGAATTATCTGCTTCATTTTTTTTTTCTCATTTTGGTCAACCTGGACTCTTGTCTTCTAGGGTAGGTAACAAGGAGACATGTTCCCTGCTCCACTCCTAGGTGTTCAAACCTGTCCTCTGATAGGAAATAGGGTCTAAAAGGATGGAAAGTTACCCCACATAGCACAGAATTTGTCATGGACAAGGAGGATGAGAACCATGGGTCTCTGGCTGTTCCATGTGCGGCATCATAGCAGGCATTCCTGTCTCCTCATGTGCGTACATGTGGCACACCAGGGCAAGAGGGAGCACCATGGATGCTCAGAGGGACTTTCTTGCTGTGAAGATGTAGCCAGTTCCTGAAATTCTTCCCCCATCTCTTCCTGTTTTTGCCTTCTACACAGCATTTGGAACTTCCCTAAAGTAGGCATTCCCTGATCAGGAGACATCCCTAGGATGGGCTAAGCTGCAATCACACCAGAAAAGTCATCTCATTACAAATGAGACACCAGCCTCCCTTTGCACTCCAAATTGACTGAAGAGGCACATTGGACTGATGGTGGAGGTTTGGCACATCTTTTTGGTAATAACAGCCTGAAATGTTGCTCACAGTCATGGTGGAGAAAGTAGTTGCCACCATGAACAAATAGAGGTGAAAACACCAGCCACAGAAGCACAGCCGTGGGTGATTAGGAAAGATGCCTGACAACACCTACCACAAAACCTTCCAGCAGAGGCTTTCATGGCCTCCTTGGTCACCTTTGGGAAGATGCTGGCTGTGCCTATGCTAGCTGTCAAGGAATATGGGCTGAGAGTGGGAGACCCTGTTCCCAGGAAGCTGCCTGGGTTGGCGTGGGACAATGGTGAAATGTAAATAGACTAAGAACCTCTTCTGTGTCTTGGCATATGGCCTAATACAACACTGTACTTACACTCTCCTGAAGCTTCTGTGTGCTTTTAAAAACATGGCAATACCAAACAGGCTGGTGGATGGGCTCAGTCCTGGGTTGTTGGCATTTTGGTGATATTGAATGAATATACCTTTTCATATATCCCAGCAAAATTCAAATCTCTATCCTGAAAACTTTCACAAATAAATGTAGCATCACAAGGATCATGAGCCATCTTCGGGGTAGGGGTGGGGAGCCAAGTCAGTTGGCATACTGGGCGTAGAAAGCCACTTTAACTCTCTCGATCTGGTGGCACAACTTGATAGCAGGCCCCAGCTTCAGTTCCATGCACTCCTGCACTGTCGGCAGGGTCAGTAGGAGGAGCGCCTGGCCATCAATGTCCTGCCAGGAAACAAAGCAGAGTTAGACGAAGGGGAGTAGGTGCCTGGGAAATACATGTGTTACATTCAGGCTTCATCCTGGGGTAAATCTTATTTTGTTGATATAGGAGAGTGTCAGCAGAGAAACTATAAGTATTAATAGCATAAGTATTAATAAAAATCTTCTTATTACCTAATGAGTTAAATATAGGCTGCTAAATTCTTTGGTTATTTTGTGGTTGGCTCTTTTGTTTCTCATTTTTGATGGTACTGGGGTTTTGAACTCAGCGTCTCACATCTGCTAGATCAGCACTCTATTACTTAAGTCACATTCCCAGCCCTTTTATGCTTTAGTTACTTTTCAGACAGGGCCTCATGCTTTTGTTCAGGTTGTCCTTGAACTGAGATCCTCCTAATTTTACCTCCCCAACATTCGGGATTGTAAGTGTGAATCATCATATCTAATTTGTTTTTTTGAGATAGGTTCTTACAACCACATTTTCTCCACCTCCCAAGTAGCTGGGATGATAAGCTTGCACCATCAAGCCAGGCTCTCACTGATGTTTTTTTTTTTTTTTTTTTTCTGGTGGTTGGGGGAGGGGTGGCCTTGTATCATCACTACTTAATTGCAAAAGAAGCTGCTTATTTACTGATAGATAGTGACAATAAGATCCATGCAAAGGCTGCTTTCTGCAGCCAAAGAAACAGCAAAAGGGTAGTAACTCAGCAAGAAAAAAGACTTGCACATGCCAAGAATTCCACTGAAGTCCAATCCCACAACAAAATCTGTGGCCCAGGCTTTGGCCCACCATGTGAGGCCCAACAAGAAGCCTTGACTTCCAGCTAGGCCAGACTACAAGCAGACCACCTAGAAGGTAGCATCCAAGAAGGCCAGGCAAGGAGTTGAGATATTTCACCTCTGTATGTTGGTAAAGAGCAAGCACCTCAGGTGGGCTTAATATAGACCAACGGCAGAGCATGGATGCCCATCCCTCACCCAGGGGCAACAGGCATCTCCCTTTCCCTGTTGGGGAAGCAGAACACCCTGCCCATGCCCAGCAGCCCTCTCATAGTGTCAACCATGGTCAAGAGGGACCCTGGGACTTTGACACCCCCTTTCCTGGCAGTCATGAGAAGGCCACATTAGATGTCGGAGGAGTTCATTTAAAATCAGGAGTCTAGGAATATGAACCCATAATGACCCAATGAGCCACTCTACCTGCTCCTGAAAGATCTTGGCCAAGGGGGCACAGTCTGTCAGCTTAATGAACCTTACTACGTCCGTGACTGTCCACTCCAGAGGGTTGCTCTCCAGCACAAGCCTTTCCTCCTCCTCCTGTTTCGTTTCCTGGAGAGGAAGTAGGACAGGAGATAGTCACTGCCTGTGTGAGCTGTGACATCTGTTCCCACACCTGCTGGGCAATTGTTGCTGTCTCTTTTGTCTCTCACTGGGTACCTCAACAGATACAGAAACTCACTCTTGCAGCAGTTTCTTAGCAGCTTGTCCCTGGTGAGCACCTGTAATGACCTTTGGTCTTTCAGAAGTTAAAAATAAAGGGCACAGTGATAGCCTATCTTGAGTTTTAGTTGAGGAATCCTGGGCATCTTAAAGCATCTTTGATTACAGAAAAGACTAGAGATGCTGAGAGACAAAAATACACCCAATGTGCCCACAGTGTGTGTGTGTGTGTGTGTGTGTGTGTGTGTGTGCGCTGCACTGTGCTGGGGACTGAACTTGGGGCCTTGCTTGGTCTTTTCACTCAAGGCAAGTGCTTTCCTATTTGAGCTATACTTGAGCGACATCTCTGAGTTTTTGTTGGTTTATTGGAGATAAGTCTTATGGACTTCTCTGCCTGGTCTTGGGCTGATATCTGAGATGCTGAAATTACAGATGTCAGCTATTGGTAGCCAGCAGACTTTTTGTTTTTGAGTCTGATTAGATAGTTCAAGCTGGCCTCAAACCTGCAGTCCTCTGGTGTGTGCCACCACCTCTAGCTTGTCCCCACTGACATCTATGAAGATGATGATGCCTTGGCCACTAATCAAACACCATCTGAAGGGTTTGGGGAGATCTGGTATGTATGATTCATATTTTATGACATCATAGGTCACCTTAACAGCCTCAAAAGGGGTTCTCCTAGAGACAGATTAGATATTACATAGAAAGCCAAGGCAGACGTAGAAATGGGGCGGAAGTTTGAAATCCCAGTGTTCAGAGGGACATGGAGGACTTGATCCTCTCCTGCATGATGAGGCCTGGTAGGGTTGAAGCTTTCCAGAGTGAAGATGTTACTGGAATCCAGGAGGGACATTCTCATGCTTTCTGCTAAGAGGTGGAATCAAAGTCTTTTGCTCCTTGACTTGGGAACTTTGAGGGAACAATTGCTGCCACCTTTCAGATGTTCAGAGGCTTCTCTCTCAATCTCACTCCAAATGATCATTTGTGCTCTTCTTACAAAATGAGTGTGCCACTCTCACAACTCACCTCCTGACCCTCAGGCCTGGCAGGTGGGTCCTTGTCCCCATCCTCAGCAGTGGCAGGGGCCGGAGGGGGTCGGGCCCTTCGAGCTCTCTCCACAGGCGGCCGACGCACAGCCTCCGAGCTGCTACTCCTCAGGGTCACAGCCCTCCGGGGCCGGGAAGAGGGCACTTCAGCCGAAGAGGTGTCTGTCTGGTCATCCCGCAGCTCAGAGCCAGTCTCCTCACTCGCGGTATCATCGTCCAGGGCATCCGCATCCTCATCTTCACTTTCCTGAAAAGAAAGAGGAATGCACTTGAAGGGGGCTGGAGAGATGGAGTCGAATGAATTTAGTGGGGTGATAGGCTCCAGCAGCCACTCAGCCTGCCCCCATCCCAGCTTCCTTTCCTGTCTGGGCAGCACTTAGCAAGTGTTGTCCAAAACTGACCATGCTCTAATGTAGCTCTTTCCCTGACAAAGTAGTGGACACGTGAAATGGGCTCTCAGTAGAAGGGTGTCAGGTGGGTGGGGCTTATTTCTCTCCTGATGATTCTGTAGCAAGCATCAGCTGTAGCCTTCACTGTTAAACAGTAAGATGGCAGAGAGGGTCGTGCATCCACATTCAATGTTACAGCCAGCTGTGATGTTACATACTTGTAATCCCAGTACTTGGAAGATAGAGGTAGGAGGGTCAAAAGCTTAAGGTCAATCCAGGCTTACAGAGCAAGACCTTGTTTTGAACCAAAACACAACAACTCCCCCTTCAAAATGCCCAAGGTTGGATGTGGTCATTCAACCTAATCATGTGGTCATCCAAGCTAATCAGGCTGGCCCAGGCACAAGACCCAGCCTGAAAAAGAAACTCGAAGCAAAATGGCTAAGGGGCACTGCTTAAGCAGTAGAGTGCTTGCCTAGCTAGCACAAGGTTCAATTCCCTATACCACAAAACAAATACCAAATGTCTTTTAGACAGAACATACCTCCCCAGAGCCTGCCGTTAAGTCCATGGCAGAAGACCTTCGTTTCTTCTGCACAAAGATGGATTTTCGTCGTTTTCTTCTTCGGGCTGGTTTCGTGTGTCCAATCTCAATGCTGCTTTCCCCAATTGGAGGTTTAATGATCTTCTTTCTCTTTCCATAGTAATACGCTAAAAAGAGAAAGAGGGTTTTATCAAATGAAACTACACTTCAGTATATTCTTGAGCCAGGGAGTGACCTCATCCTTACTGTGCTCAGTGTCACTAAAGATCGTTCTGTTTTCTTCCTGCTATAGCCCAGGACCAAGCTGCAGTACTATTCACTCTAAGATGTTTGAGAGATCTTAGATTTTGAAATATTGAAGAATTAGGTCCAGGAGCAGTTCATTTCAGTGGTGTGCAATGGGGCTGTATTAGCCTGCACCTTCCCTGTGTCCTCAAAGTATAGGGAAGCCCATTTGTGAGGTAAATGTTCAAGACCAAGTGTAGCTCATCCTCAGTGAATGGAGCTACTCAAGAGCAGCTGCTAACCAGTGAGTTCCTCTTTTAGTCAACAGAAGGGATTAGGGATGAAGTCTTCAGGAAGTAGGATGATGGAGACATACCTACTCATGGTTCTCACCTGACTGTGTACAGACAGAAATGGAAAGCAAGAGGATCGAGTGTATAGCTGACCTTCAGTGAGACTGTGAGTAGAAGGTAAACTCTTGTGTGTGTGTGTGTATTGAGATTTGTTTCCAACACTGAAGTTGGCAAAAGGGCTGACCACACACACAAGGGGTACTTGTCAGGCTCCAGGAATGGCTGAAAACTGAGCTGGCAGAGCCGACTTCCAGATCCCTGTCCGTGGGTTGAGAAAGAAGCGATGTCCTGTATCATGGTGGAAAAGTAAAGGCAGCCAAGAGCAAACAAAAGGCTGGTTGTTTCCGAGTCCTCTGATTATGCCCTGAACTTTGCATGCTGTGTCTAAATGAGGGAAACACTAACTACGATGAAGAGAGGGTAAGATGGGTAAAGGGATTCATTACAGCTTTCCACCGTAAGGACAAGAAATTAATTCGGGTTCCCAACCATCACTAAGCAGCACTCCACTGTACCTTTTCTGCAGCCTTGTGGGATCCACTGAAATTCACAATTGCCCCCTCCCCCACTCTCTCCCTTTCCAAGTCCTGCCGCTGCAGCCCAACCACCTATTCCTTGGCCAGCCTACGAACTCATGAGAATCTGCCACAGCAAGCCCTAAAAGATTTCTCCAGAGGAATTCCTAGGAAAAACTACTCAAACGGTAAAAAGAAAACAAAACAAAAACCCATTATACCGTAGGTCCACTCTTGTGGGTCCATTTCTTGTCCCTTCATTTGTACTTACTGTATTTGGTTTTAGTGTGAATGGAGCAATTCTCTGGGCAGTTGTCAGAAACCAACACAGGGCTAAACAAATTTGGGCAGCATTCTAGCTTGGCACAAACTCGCCGGCAGAAATTTGCTACTTGGTCAGATGTTCGTACAATCTTGACCACAGCCCTGTAGGTTTTGCCTCTGTACCTAGAACATGAGGAAGGAAGGAAAGGTGATGATAACTTATTAGACCTTTTATTGTTATGACACCTTCCCAACGTGGACACTTCATTCCCTAAGGCAATGGGTACCACCTGTACTGGCCACGCACTTTGTTTTAGTACTTCCTTATAATCTCTCTCTCTCTTTCTTTCACACACACACACATGTACACACACACGTACACACACACATTTTTTTGTCACTTGAAATTAGGGCTTGAACTTGCTAGGTAAGTGCTCTACATGAAGCCATTTCCTCAGCCCTTTTTGCTTTTTTTTCAGTATTATACTTTTTGCCTGGGCCAGCAGCCTTGGATCCCAATGCTTCTATCAACACCTCATATGTAGCTGGGATTAGAGATGTGAGACACAGCTTGTTTGTTGAGATGGGACATTTCCAATTTTTGCCTAGGCTAGCCTTAGTTCTTGATCCTCCTATCTATACCTCCTGGGAAGCAGGGATGAGAGGCATGAGCTACCACATCCAGCTCATGAAAATATTTTGGCTAGCATGTACAAAATCCATGGTGCCTGTGCTAAATCTAATGTAGGAAACATTTCCATCTAGCATGCTACCAACCTGCTGCACAGGATCACACAGCAAAGATGAGTAGCATGTGGTAATATTAATGGCTGTGCTTCCTGAAATGAAGGTAATGGCATCTAATAGTGATTATTCCTGCTGGCATATTTTGTTCTGGCAAAACACGGTGCAAATGGGATGGTGACACAGCTTTGAAAAACACACAGGCACTGAACTAACATCTTTTTTCAAGACTGAATAGTGCTCTGTTGAACCTGGGACAACTTCCATTATTCATAAATGACAGCTGTGCAGAATGGTGCAACGTAAGCAAGGCCACATTTAAAAGAAGAGAAGCAATGGATTTTACATTAAAAAAAAAAAACACACATAAGAAACCAGGAAACAAGCCATACAGCACAGCCAGGAGACCAGCTGACCATGTAGGGATTCCTGACACTGCAGATGCTGGCAGCGCATGGTTTTGGTGCCACAGACTCACAGCAGGTCCAGTGAATTACCTGCAGATACCAAAGAAGGCTCTGCATCAAAGAGCCCTGAGACACGGCAGAGACACTGGCCTGTTGGGCACCCTGCCCTGCCCCTCTTCAGGCTGAGACATGAACTAAAACCACTTCTAGAGGGACCCTCAGCTCTCCTGTCCCCCTCTTCTGTGGTTTGGGTTTCTGCTCTACAAAGCAGTATGTCTGATCCTTTCTGTGATCCTGTGACTTTGCTAACTCCTAGGGGACTCAGATTTCAATAGGCAGCCAGAGGATATGCCACCCTAGCCCAGGCACAGGTCAGAGAATGAATACAGGGATCAACAGGTCTTCATACGAACCTTTATTTCCTATTCCACTGAAGGCTTTGTGAAGTTAAGATTTTATTTAGATGCTGGGTGCCAGGGGCTTGTGCCTGTAATCCTAGCTACTCAGGAGGCTGAGATTGGAGGATCACAGTTCAAAGCCAGCCCAGGCAGGAAAGTTTATGAGAATCTTACCCCTGACTATCAAAAAAGCTACAAGTGGTGCTGTGGCTCAAGGGGTAAAGCACTAGCCTGGAGCAAAAAAGCTCATGGAAGTGCCCAGGCCCTAAGTTCAAGCCCCAGAACACACACACACCACACACACACACACACACACACACACACACACACACACACACACACACACACACCATGGCAGTAAACTTAGCTGAGCAGCATTGCCTGAGAGACAGTCACTCGAGTTGTGGATTGAACTGTGTCCCTGCACATGTTAAAACTCTAATGCGACTATATTTGGAGATAGGACCTTTAACGACAGGTCAAACAGTATCAATGGTGTCTTACCACTGCAGGAGAGGAAGAGACACCAGAGTGATGAGTACACACAACAATTTATTTGTCAGGGAAACAGCATCTCAGAGTAGCTTTGGCAAATAACACATTTGTGGAAAAATAGCCCAAATAAAGAGGCATGAACTTCCAAGGTCAGCTGACATTGCCGACCAACAACATGAGGACCAGATACTCTTCCCTATTCTCACTTGTACATTTGAGCCGACAACTCATGAGGACACAAGAGGAACATCAGGAAATTCATTGGTATAAACCTAAGTATAAAATCAGATCATCATGTTTGTAAGTCCAACATTAAGCTTTAAAACCTTGGTGGGGAATCTACAAAGAATACAACAGTTACAGAGAAGAAAAATCTGAATCTTGAGAATGGAAAACTAAATTAATCTTTTATACAGACTGAGGATTTTTTCAGATTTGTTTTGTCTTTCTGGAGACTATAAAAATATATTTTCCCTAACAAATCATTTTTAAAGCCTCAGAAGCAGAAAAAATTAAAATATTAAACTCTCAGTTGACAAAAGAGGTCTTCTGTATTTCAGTACCTTTGCCCTCCTTTTACTTCTATTTCTCTGATGTGCCAAGGTCGACTTTCAGTGTAGGAAGAACTAAAGAAGTACTCTGTAGATAAAAAGTTATGCTTCTGAACCCTGTAGCCTTGCACAAGTTGATTTTTCCAGGGCCTCTAATGATCTTCTATGTAGAGCTTCCCTCTGGGTACCCTGGAGAACCCTTGGGGTTCACTCTGGGGAAAAGTGTCTGGCTTCCTGTTTTTGTGCCATTTTGACATCCCTTAAAAATGGAAAATAGTGGGAAAAAAATAGTGGACTAAAACACCTGATGGATCCATATTCCCACGTGGTTTAATTCACTACACATTCAGAGTTCCTAGAAGTTTATTGGGAAGAGCTCAATATCAAGATGCTTAAAGGCTCTTTAAAAAAATAGAATAACCTGACACTTAAAAGCAGAAGACTCATGAAAACCAGGTCAGTCATCCAACTGTGGAAGGAGAAGAGTGCAAAGGTGAGATCCTGATGCTCACCAAACCACCAAGTTACAAAGAACACGGGTGGAGAAAGGAGCTATTACCTGTGGGGAACAGAAAAGGGCCGGCTTTTGTTCCTCCCTCACTGGGGCTGACTGAGGGGAGGCATTTTAGTGGAACCTTTCATCATTAGCAAAAGGTATGGAAATAAGAACTCCAGCACAGTTGAAAAATGAGGCCTTTGCTGCACTCGTCTACGTAGAAGCCAGTGCAGTGGTGGAGGACAGAGAACCAGAAGGGGGGCATGGACTGGGGGCTACCATGCCCCTTCCTTGAGGAACTGGGTACCCCAGATGCTGGAAGGGCTTCTGGGAGACAGCCCTTGATTCCCCAGCCCTCGAGCGGTGGCTCCCATACAGCCCCACGCCTGGGGAATAAGTCAAAAGAAATGACCACCTGGGCCCAACTCGGGGTAGCCTTGAGGGCGTTTCTAGTCCCAGAGCTACTGCCAGGCTTCACGGCAGGCCAATCTTGTTGCCTGCCTTGTGCTGTTGTCTCCTCTTTCTTTCAAGGGTCCCAAGGGCCCTTCACCCATGTGGGACACACTTAGCCTGGGAGAGGCGAGACAGCAGGGCACCAAGGGGCTATGGAGACCTTCTGCATGTTAGGGAGAGGGAGGGCACCGGGGTGATACCAGGACCTGATCAAATGAATAACACACAGAGGGGAGAGCTGCAGTAGGGGAAAGGAAGGGCTCAGAAGCACCTGGACTGGAACCGAGATCCAAATATGAGTATGTGCAGAGAGGGGCAGGCCTGAGGCTGCCGGCTTGCAGGTGGACTCCTGGCTGGCACCTGGCACCTAGGCACTTGGGCTTCTGAAGGGTTAAAAATAGCTTACTGTCAAATAAATAATGACTATCAGAAAAAAAAATAGCTTATTGTCACCAGACTATGGCAACAATGAGAGCATGCCTGGAACCTACTTTCTATGGGTACTCTGGAACTTGGGGTGCACTAGTCAGAGGCTAGGCAGGAGGCCAGTCTCCACTTAACACCCTAGGTTTGTGCTTCTCTGGGCAGAAATGTTACCCATGTGCCCACTTTTCTTATTTTTGGTGGAGGTATTAGGGATTGATCTCAGGACCTCGTACTAGCTAGGCAAGGGCTATATCATTTGAGCCATGACTTGTTTTTTTGATTTGATGTGTTTTTTGTTTTTTTCAGTTAGAGCCACTCTCCTTCCAAAACACCCCAGCACAAGGCTGGAGTTATTCCAAGAATAGGACTGGAAGAAAAGAATTTAGAACATCTTCTTTGGACAGAATATTTTTTTTAAATATCAAATAATGATAGAGACAAGACAAAGGGACCAAGAAGGAATCTTTGTGTGGCTTCCACTGGCCAAATCCAAGGCAAGCTAAACATCAACATAAGTGAAAATGATATACATAGTTCATTGAATAAAATCAGGACCTGTCAGTTCACACTGATGTAAGTTAACGAACTGGAAGCTTGATGAGGAATGGGAAATTCAGATGGGACACAAAGGATCTCTACAGTGGAGACACTGCAGATCTTGCCTTAGAAAGGGCTCCAGGTGTTCAGCAAACAGGGTGGGAGAAGCTGATTTCACGTGGCATGTGATAGGCCACACGCAGAGCACATTTCTTAGGCGGTCTTCCTGCTGTAGATGCACAAATCTAACTCCAACCATAAAGACACATGAAAGAATCCCAAAGTAAAAAGTGATCCTTGGTCCTCAAAACACCCAGGTCATGATAGCCAAGGAAAGTCGGAGCAACCATTGTAGAAGGGAGGAGGCTAATCTGGTATGTCTACCCCCCACCCCCACCCCCACCTCCCAGTGTGAGATTCTGGACTAGCTACTCCTGCCACAAAGGTTGGTACTGGATGATGTGAGCAGACTGAATTATCAATAGTAATGTTTCATCACCCATTTATTTATTGTGGTCATGGAGAATGTCTTTATTTTATAGGAAACAGCTCATTAATATTCAGTGATGAAAGGACTATTGCCCATAACGTATTTTCCAAACTGTTCAGAAGAAAGAAAAAGACCTTCATTCTGAACTTGGCATTTTTTCCTGTCTGCGCTCATTTCCAAAAAAATGCTTAAAATAAATAAATAAATGTAGTAAATTGGTTACAGTAAGCTAACTAAACCACACACTCTCCACCAAATATTTTTGAGCACTATTGGTTTAGCACACACATAAACCCTCTGTTAATATTTTAAAAAAAAATTAAAGAAACAAGTATTTGTATATCTAGCTCTAGCCTGCACCAATAAACTGACTTGCTTTGAGTTAATCAACAAATTAGGAAAATGGTTTCATTGTCAAATACATGCAAAACATAAGAAGATACTGGCCTATCAAAAAATGTGTAGCAAAGGCAACTCTAAACCCTCAATGAATGGTTGTGAGTTGATAGCATATAACTGTGTTTATAGAATACTTTTTTCAGTGCTGGACAAGTATCCAGTAGGCCGTATACAAGCTGGAAAAATACCACTGAGCTACACCCCCAATACAGATAAAAATGGAATTTTCATCATTCATCTGAACCTAATATAATCTTCCAGGGTAGTGGAGACACAGGGGTTTGAGCTCTATGCTACAGATGTGGCAACCCTGGAACATCTGGGTGAAGCCCCCAGCACACTCAGCCCAGGAAGGCAAATCACCCCAGCTGAACCAGGTAAGGAAGAATTAACATGTGACTAGCTTTTGCAGAGGGTCAGTGTAGGTATCCTTTTTCACATGAATCACGTGATAGCCAAATATCACACTTACTGTTCATAAAATATAGACTGGACTGAGCACCAGCAAGACAAAAAGAGTGAAAACATAAAAACATGTTCATTGCTTACAGCAGAGACAGACCTAAGTTATTTTGTAAAGCAGTGCAGGACTCACTGAGGGTCAAGATCTGACGCTGTCTCCTGGCAACTGCCTACAAGATAATGAAATCTAATTCTATTGAATGGATACCAGTAAATATTCTAAATACTCATAACAAAGGGCTGGAAAATCTGGTAAGTCTCCACCTCATTTTTCTGAAGATCATCACAAAAGCTATTCTAAGAGGAGTTCACATAACTTTTTTTTTCCTCCAAGAAGATTTTATAACATGCAAAACATGTTTACATTTCTCTAACACGCCTAGGAATATTTTTTAATTCCCCCAAGGTACAGCCCTAAATTTCTCCTCTTGAAATTTAAAATAATGTAGGTCAATTTATAAAGACTACATTCATCAGAAAGCAGGAAACTTTTTTGTTGCAGAGAAGCTGAAATGAACTATATGTATCAGAATCCATACACTGCAGCAAGTCTATTTTTTGCTTTGAAATACGCACTGAGGAGTAATGATACAGCTCTTTTTTTTCATTTTATTTTATTTTATTTTTTGTGAACATACTGTACAGAGGGGTTACAATTACATGGGCAGGATAATGCGTACATTTCTTATCAAGCATTGCAGCCTCCTCCTTTACAGCTCTTTACATGTTGTTCAAATACAGCAATAATTTCCTGAGCTGCCTAGAAGCTATGGTTAGTTGGACAAATAGAAAGAAAAACACCACTCACACATTTACACATGAGTATATGTGTACACAGAGTAGTTTTCCTTCTATCTACAGGTCAAAAATCCTTTGGGAAGTACCTTCATCCTATCAGATAAATGGGCCGTTCATTAATCTTTAGAAAACAACAGGTAATAATCCCAGATGGGGAATCAGAGCACTCATACTGCTCTGAGGATCATCTTACAGCCTCACTTCCTGAAGAAACTCCTTGCGATATTATAATTCCAGCCCCACAACAACCAATGCAATTCCATATCTTAACTGCAGCTCTTCCTTCCGCTAAGTTCATTTATCCATGACAGAAAACACTTTGGCCTTTCAGCAAAATGGAAAGAAGGTGTCTTGTTCTCCTCCTGATTGCACCAAAGAAAATATAGCAAAGTTGTCACAATCTACAAAAGTTGTCACTTCCTATCAGGAGGAAAGAGGTGATGCACCATGCAAGACTGTCACAGCAAGGCACATGCTGACTCTAAACCTGCCATCATTAGCAGCTGCTTGGGGTGGCCCCTATGATCTGGTGTAGCTGAATTCCAGTTCAGACAGCCACTTCCTCATTAGAAGCGGCTGTGTAAGATTTTCGCTCTGGAACTCCTGTCATCTCTGATATAAGAGGTAATGCTTTGTCTTTACAATTCAGCAGGGCTGGAATTGCCCTGTGTCTGTTTTGATTATATCGGGCTGGATTTAATAAAAGCTCTGATTGACTTGGTAACATGAAAATAAGTGCCAACATTTGCAAAATGAACTCTCACTGTCATGGAGCAAGGTTCTGGCTGATTTAGGAACAGGAGAGCTTTTAATGGAATTTAAGAGTTCTGTACTGTCACTATTTCAGCATCCGTGAGTGTTGTTATCTAGGCTGTATTGAATCTTACAGAAAACTTTAAAACAAGAAGTAAGGATTTCTGTGTATAACCAAGATTGCTCAAGATTTTTAACAGCCCAAAAGTGACATTAGGAAGAAACATCCTACATTGGCTGGTCACTTCCCCTTTACAGAAAAAAGAGAAATACCAAATGTTAGGCGGGAAACAATTTGTTTCTGAGCTATGGATGAAGCTCATCAAATATCACTTGGGAATGAAGCTATGTGCAGCTCCTTCCATTAGGATACCATTTTATGCAAATGAAGACTCTTCTTAATTACATATATTCTCTCCACTCTTGTGATTTGGCAGAGTATCATAACACCTTAAGCGGCATGTAAGAATCAAAATTACAGAGTTATTTTAAGAAGACTCTGGGATGCTATGTGGGGGGGTTATTGACAATGAGTTAGTGTAAAAGCCTAATAAATATCTCACCATTTCTACCTGAAACTAGGATGAATTAGCTATAGAAGAAACTGCTACTGGTCAGACAAGTTATTAAGAATTCCCAATTTTCATTATAAACAGGAAAGGATAAGGGTTCTGTATATATCAGAAAGTGGTTTACTTCTTTTTTTAAGCATTGTTTCTTAGTTGTTCTATATAAATATATTAGAAATGTAATATAAATGTAGCCAGGTGTGGTGACTCACATCTGTAACTTTAACTACTTCAAAAACATAAGTAGCGAGATTGTGGTCCAGCTGGCCTGGGTAAAAAGCAAAGACTCTACTTGAATAAAACATAAAAGCAAAAAGGGATGGAGGAAGGGCTCAAGTGGTAGAGCACCTGCCTATCAAACCCATGTACTATATAAAGGAACATATGCTGGGTGTTGGTGGTTCATGCCTATAATCCTAGCTACTCCGTGGGGAGAGATATGAGGATCAAGGTTCAAAGCCAGTCAGAGCAGGAAGGTCTGTGAAACTCTTATGCTCAATAAACTACTCAGCTGAAGCTGGAAGTAGCACTGTGGCGCAAATGGTAGAGAGCTAGCCCTGAGCAAAAGAAGCTTAGGGACAGAGCCCAGGCCCAGAGATCAAGCCACAGGACAAGCAAAAACTAAAAGAAAAAAGAAAGAGAGAAAAGAAAACATGCACTGTACTCACAAACTGCTTTGTTGAATGGCAACTCTGCTGTACAATTACTTAAAGATAATAAAAATATTCAAAAAAAAGAGAAAAGAAAAAGATTTTTGAAAGCCAACCAGCACACCTTTTCTATTGGAAAACTATAAATGAATATTTAAAGGCTATTCAGTACACCAAACAATTATTCAACATAGTTATTTTGAGAAAGACATTCTTGAAAAATGGATCTTTTCCTAGGGACCTCCTCAATAACCAAGTTCAAGCACAGTAAGGCTATTTCTTCTCTCTTTTACAGCCAAGCAAAACATGTCATCTTTCCAATTAGCCTATTTCTAAATTAAAGAAGAAAGTTACTCAACTGCATGTCAACTCAGAACCCACTGACTGCCATTTTATTTGACTCAAACCAAACAAATGTCTACCAGTTCCTTTTATCTTTATAAATTTTCAATCCCAGAGTAGAGAACCTTTGTATTTAACAAACCTCTGTCACAATATCAAACACTACTATCTGTTAATGAATGTAATATAATAATGAAAAGGAATACAATTTTCTTATTCTTTTTTCCTTTTTTAAACCAATCTGTTGGTTCACACAGAGAGTAATTTTTTATTCTGCAAGTGTAACATAAAAAATCTTAACGCTCACGGTAATTGTAACATGTGACAAAAATACTGGTACATTTGTAAGTCACACACAAAAGTATATGTCATTCTGGAATGGCAGAATAATGGACCTTCAAATTATTTCCTTTTCTCTGGGCTATGTCAAAATAAAGAATGAGAGCTTCTAACACAGCAGGTGAAATATTACAAAAACTGTTGTTTTCCAGAACTGAAAACACTTACTTTGCCTTCAGCGTCTCCTCCTGAAAATTCCAGTGTGCATCTTCCACCAGCTGTAATTCTCTCAATACCCTTCCAGGTTTGTATGCTGCATTGATTATCATGCTAAGAACCTGTTGGGATAAAAACAAAAATAAAAACAAAATAACCCTCACTGCACTTCAATCTCGTTCATTCCTGGAGAAACAAGCATTTTCAAAAACCACACCGCTGACACTTCAGAGGTATTCACTGGGCACTTTTGTTAACTGAAGGGCTGTGATTAAGTTTGCTAGATGATTCTATGGGTTAATGTAGAGATGACCTGCCATGTAGGGATTCCCAAGGTGTAAAATTCACCACCCCTCAGGCTAGGAGAGTGGGACCTGCTAGCTATAGGAACTTTGGGAGCTCAATAATTCTTGATAACTCTTGCAGATAAAAAAAAAGAGTCGAGTCCTTCCCAGGGCAACTTCTTATTCTCCAGTACATGATCCACCAGGAGGACAGGTTACTGAGAGTTTCATTCTACATTGAAAGATGCATTTTAGAAGGAGTCAATGAAACTGAGACAATATGCTAGAGACAATATTGTCTGAAATCTGGGGAGATTTGAGGGACTGTGCTAGGGAGCATAATGAATTTTCTGCAAAATCATTTAATGCTGGGCTCAGTGAATGGACCTTGAATATGAGCACAATGCTCTCAGAAATGCATTTCCAAGTCCTAAGTCCAAAAGAACATGCAGGTGGCCACTGCTCACCATGAGGCCTCTAGAAACACCAGGCATCTGAATTCTGAGAGTTACATGGGTAAGCTCTAGAGAGATAAGATGCTTCTGGGTACTTCTGTCTATGCACTCTTTTACTGAAAAGAACTAGGAATTTTGATCCCAGAGGTACACACTTTTCAATAAACAAGTCATGAGTATGGAGGCTCACAGATCACAGTTCATGTTTCCAAGCAAAATGCCACTGAGTGGATGAGGGAAATGGCTTGTTGGGGTGGTAGGTACACATTAGTGCCATTACGTGGACAGGTGCTAAGCTAGCATGTGTATTAGTTTTTGGTAGGGATCAGTCCAGCAAAAATAAAAGGCAATAGATGTATGTTTAGGAATATAAGTGGCCTGAATCACTTACTAATTGAATTCTGAAGACAACAAAGCTTTCTCATTTAACTCCAAAGATCTGATGTGAAAATACGTTATACCATACAGTCAGTATGGCAGTTGACTTTGGCCTTGGTAGCATTTTGCCCCTTAACTACCCACAACTTTTGTGACTACCTCAGCTGTGGCACTAAACAGCTGGGGTGGTGCAATCCAGGCAGTTGTGGCGCACATGTTTTCTGTATTAGAATAATCATCTGATTTTTACTGTTTACTGTCAGTACCATTTCAGAAACTTGAGTTTAAAAATAAATCTAATTAGAACTGGCTGCAATAACACACCAAGTGTTTATCAACAGACAATAAAATTTCAATGGATTCTTTTCACTGTGATTAGCTGAGAAAACTCCAAAGTGACTGCTCTTTGCTGCATACTGGAATACATTTTGTGACTGTAAACAGAGCATGTCATGAGTCCAATTCAGCCTGGAAAGAGGCAGCAAATAAAGTCTAAAAAGGACCTGATATTAAGGATTCTTCCCATGGCTTTTTCTGAGGTCACTTCATTTGCTTCCAAACTCAACAAGATCTCATGAAACGTGGGGACTATGAGCCTCAGTTTCTATGACGTGATGTCCTAGTGTTTGATGTTTACCCCATTAAAGGAATTAAGGAGAAATCTGCTCACTGTCCAGTGCTAGATGGAACTACTGCAGCTGATCAACCATTGGAATACAAAACTGGTAGGAGGGGCTGAGCATCTCCAGACAGAAACACACACTGGAGGGCAATGCCTCTTTGGATCCTTGATGTTCACGAAGCATGTTGAGAAAATCCTTCTACATTCAACCTCTCTCTCGTTTGTGTTTTTTTCTCTTCATTTTAAAAATAATTTTTTATTGAGATGAAGTGATTAAAAAACTTCACCAATTTCACAGAATGGTGGGATAGTGATACTTAGTTAAAGTCACAAACACATTTTAACCTTCACAAGGCAAATTGTCATTATCATGGTCTATAAAGTTTGTGAATTCTATGAGCTTTGACAATACAACTAATGTATTATGAGAGAAAAGCAACAATTTGTTTTAGTTGGAGTGAGCTTGTATCAAATCTGTATTTTGCAGGAATGAGGAATACCTGGCCCAGTGCCCATATAAAACCTTCAAAACTGTTTTGGTAGCTGGGCACTGGTGGCTTATGCCTGTAAACCTAGCTACTTGGAAGGCTGAGATCTGAGAATCATGGTTCGAAGCCAGCCCAGGCAGGAAAGTCTGTGAGACTCTCATCTCCAATTAATCACCAGGAAACCAGAAGTGGTGCTGTGGCTCAAGTGGTAGAGCAGTCACCTTGAGCTGAAGAGCTGAGGGACAGTGCCCAGGCCCAGAGTTCAGGCCCCACGACTGACAAAAAAAAACAAAAAAACACAAAACAACAACAAAAAAAGCCCAAAACTGTTTGGTCTAGCCCTGGCAAGGCAACCAAAGATGGGTCAATAAATCTAGGAGCTTTTCCCCATACAAGACAAATTTATATTAGTCAAATCATAATAATAATGTAAAATTTGAGGGTCAAGCAAGGAAGATCCAGCCCTTGCGAAGGTGATCAGGGTTCAGGGTGCTTGGGAGGGTGATGAGGTGGGTCGCTGGGCTCTGCCACCTACTTGCCATTAAGGCTCCAAAGAAAACAGAGAAACTGATCACAGACTGGAATATTTGAAACTGTGAGTCAAAATAAACCTTTTCCCTCTATAATTTGATCATCTCAAGTATTCTTATAGTGATGGAAAGCTGACAAACACACTGGGGATATCTTTATAGTCCATTCTTTGTCTAAAAGCATCCTTATCACAGAGATCTTTGAAAACACTCCATACAACAGCATGTTTCTCTCATCATGTTTGGTCCTCTGACTGATCATTTTACTGTAAGTATAGTATTTAGGTATTTACTGTCCACCCTCATAGGCCATAAGCACCCAGAAATTAACTTCATACTGCTCCCTTCCCAGCAGCTGGGGCTATTACCAACAGCAGCAGTAGTATCTAATAGATTTATGATTATTATTATTTGTTAGAAGAGTTTCAGTATGTTCTCATGAGTGAAGATAAAAATTATTTTCTCTTCACTAAAAACGAATGACTAATTCATTCCAAGAATTTATTAGATACCACTAATCTATGTGAATGGAGGTCCAGAAGACAGCTTTTGCTACTGATCTTCATTGCTTACGAAATCCTATTCTTTCATATCAGTGGAAAAGATCATCAAATGTACCCTTGTCTTCTTTATGGGGAAATAGTAAAGAAGGCCCTAACAGCACAGTTTGTACTTTTCTTCTGCCATCCTTCCCAAACATTCCCAAACGCTCTCCTGCCTCACAGGCTTTGCTATGTATGTGTACACTTGAGCTGGGCAGATTATTCACAATGGGGTAAAAATCAACATACACTTGAGGCAGCAAGCAAAGCACAACAGAATACCTTTGAGGGACGATTTTGCATTAGAGTCAGCTGGGTAAGATTTTCCCTCTATTCCATGTGATCTGCCAAAGTCTTTTATAGTGGGACCCCAAATCCTCAACTCAGCTTCGCTCCATTCTACTGACAAATCTATGGCTGCTCTCAAAGTACCCCTCAGGTTTTTAAGGAAGTAAGTGGTTCAATGGACCAATGATGGGCAGAAATAAAACAAGTGAAGGCAAATTCAGCTCTCACTTAAGAGACAAGATTGAAGGTGAACAGAACCAGTGGTCACTTTACTTCTGGTGGGGGGTTGGGGAAACATGCAACTACCCGAAGCTGGGCATCTAGGACTGGGCCAGGTGGGGCCAGCAATGTGGCTCCAGCCTCATGAACCCCCCCCCCCAGATTTCTTTGGCACCTAGATGCACTCATCAGTGAAGCAGTGCTGGATGAGCCTGGGGCCCTTACCCCAAGGCAGTGCATCTGACCTCTTTCTGCTCCATGTTTCAAAGTTCTGCTAACCAGACTGGTTAATGTCTGTCATTTTCAATGGAAGACTCTCAAAGTGAGAGACAATTACTAGAGGCCTCCCTGCCCCAACTCATGCCAGCCAGTGAGAAAGGGCTAAAGAAAGCCTAGAAAGTATGAAGTTTAACAAGAGTCTAGAAATGAAGGAGGAGGCCCAGAGAGGGGCACTTCTCTAGGAAGACAACTTCTGTCTCCTCATTTGTGTAAAAACACCCAATGATATTGGGTTCCAAGTTCAAAAATTGCTTACAACTATTTTCCTGACCCTCAAGGAAAAAGAGCTGAAGAAGCATTGCTCTAACACAGCCGTGCGCATCTCCCACCGGTGTATCTGCACTTGTGTGGGGCTTGTTAGAATGAGGCTGGCTTAGAGAGGGGAAGATTAGGACCCTCCTTTCTGCAGCACACCGAGGTACAGATCATAGATCTTATTCACCAAGATTCCAAGATCTGGCATGGTGCCTGGCATCATAATTACTTAGAACTTAAAGAAATTAATGAATAAGATTGTATTCCCTTCATCAGTGGGTTCCTTGAGTTAGTAATTATCTACAGGATTCTGAATGAGTGAGCACCTTGGTATGTGAACTTCTAAAGAGGTTGCAAATAAATAAAAAGAAATATCAGAGAGCAGTACTGGCTCCCACAGTCTCCACATCACTGACTTCTGTAGATCTGGGAGCAGAGATAATGAAGAAGATAGATGGAAGATAAATCAGAGAGATATGGATAGAGACAATGATGGAGAGATGTTGCATAGAGCGACAGACAGATGATAATGAAGACAGACCAATGATAGACAAACAAAGATAGATGATGGGAGAAGATAGGGAGACGATGCATGAGTTGCCTACTGGCAGCCAGACAGACAAAAGTAGGCGAAACAGAATTTATTTATGTATTTATCTGTATTTTTTCTGCCAGGAGCAAGATTCCCACTTCCGTAAAGCAGATGTATGATCGACCCTCATTTCTTTTGTCCACTCTGTCACACTAGGTCTCAGGATCATAGGTAAGTATAAAGGTCTCCTTCCTTCCCTGGCAATCTCAACTCACATCCATGGGATGTTACCCTGAGAGAAGGGAGAAACTCACAGACGCTCAAGACATCACTAAGTTTCCCGCAGCATATGAACACCACGTGCCTTTCTCTTACGCTTTCTTGTAGTTCCAGAAAGAAGAAAAGGAGTAACAAACTAGTTGGTTTCCCCTCTATTAACATTCTTCTCTTAGTCTGGGACCTAGGCTGCCACACAGGGTGTAAGCTGATGATGTGGACAAAGTGCAAAGGGGCTCCTGGAGCCTCACACTTCACTCTTCTTTGCAAAGAACAAACTTCATACTTGCAAATATCTGAAGCCAAGTAACTACTTCTAAGGAAAACCATGGATGTTCCCCAAATTTCTGTAAGCAACTCTGAGACTTCCTTTGGGGATTCTCTCATCTTCTGTATTCCCACAAAACATCAACTCAAATCTATTAGATTGTTGCAACATTTCCCATTAATCCAGGGAAGAATGTCTGCTGAGAGTCTTTCTGGGCAAGAATGTTACTTCTCTATCTTGCATCTCTAACTTTCAGCTCCCAGGATGAGAACAAGGAAGTGCTTGGTAAGTGTGAACTGAATGAACGCATTATCTAGTATTTGCTGCAGGAACTATCTCCACCATAAAGATCCTGTTGAAATGAGTTAACCACGCTTAGAGGCAGGTACTTTACCTCTTTAAGCACCAGCACACACTTGCCAGGCCCCACTGATTGAGGTAGCTCTGCAATCCTCCCTTTGTTCAGATATGGGCCAGAGAAACACCGATGGTTGATGAAGAGCTGTGGGCAGCAGTACTTCCCGTTGACAGTCCCTGCGGTGGGGAAGAAAAAGGTGGTGGATGCTTAGGATTGCAATTCTGGGCTTAGGTCCCTCCAAACAAGCCCTGGACCCACCTCAAGAAGCTTCTGAAGCCTCCTGATTGGTAAAATATCTGGAGTTATAAAAAAGAGGGAACTCCAGCAACTATGAGAGCCAGCACTGTTGCAAAGCTAATTTAGGAGATGTCACTCGAGTTCCTGGTTGTAAGAGAAAACAAATGATTTTCTTCTCTCGAAATAATTACACTGTTTCCTAACATTAGGACATTTTGTGCCCCTAAAAATATCTCGGAAGTTCTGATTCTTTTTCCATCCTATAAACAAACTTTTCTGTGGAGTAAGAAGTATTTGAGACACAAAAAGAAACAAAGAATCACTAAACAACTCCAGGACAAACACAACTATACTCATAAAACTTTTTACAAAGATGGGATTTACTTTACAATATAGCAGTTGTGAGATTCTGCTACCTTCCACAGTTCCTAATCCTAGAAATCAGGGTGAATCTCATTTTGTCTTAGAAGACATTATTCTTAATCACATGTTACTTAGCATACAAAGGTATATACTATCAGATTTGGTGATCAAACCCCAGCATCGGGGTGTCTTTTGAAAGATTGTAAAGTGTAAGCCTTTATAGCTTATAAAACATATTACACATAACCAGCTACTGAAATTCAAAAGGTTTTAAGCAACTGTTTAAAAGGCAGTAGGGACTTAGGATAATAATCATTGGGTTAAAAATTCAAGTGGAATTGTTTAAAAATGTAAAAAAAAAAAGAAATACCTCATAGTAATTATTTCAAGCTTTCCCTTTCTGCATGATGACTAATGACACACAGTGCTAATCTGGATGACACTATCCAAGGAGCACATGGCTCCTTTTTCTACCGACTGGATCACCTGCCTAGAGCTACTGACCAAAAAGTAAAAACAAGTGCAGAGAATTCAGTTTAGAAATTTTGTTATGTGTTTGATTGTATGTGCTTGTGTTATATGTGTATTTAAAAGTTTCTGGGGCTTAAACTCAGGGCTGGGTGCTGTCCATAAGGTTTTATTATTTTTTGCTAAAGGCTATTATTCTGCTACTTGATCTACAGCTTCACTTCTGGTTTTTAGGTAGTTCATTGGAGTTAAGAGTCTCACAGACTTTCCTATCCAGTGTGGCTTCAAATCATGATCCTCAAATCTCAACCTCCTGAGTAGCTAGGATTATAGGGATGAGCCAGCGGCACCCAGCAGGATTTTTTTTAATGGTATATATTTGTGAATGAGTAGTAACAGAGAAAAAGAAAATGGTCTTGAAGTTAAGGTACATTCGTAGTGACCTACAGTTACAGCATGTCTTATTCTGGGAAGGGACAGAGTCCACTCACCTGGATTGTCCAGGTGAGAATATAAACAAAGGTCATGAGGTATTTTCTCAACAGGCACTGTGGACGACAATCTGTGGATAAAGAAAATACAACCACAAAACATCACTGAACACAAGTGTAAGGAGAACGGTATTTTCATAATGGAAAATATCTGCTCCAAAAATCAAACTAAGAGCATTGTAAGATGGGACGTGTTCACAGGACCAGCACCAGCAAGACCAGATTTAAAAAAAAAAAAAAGATTTCTTCAGAATAATTGTTCTCAGATCTTCTGATGACCCTAAGAAAGCCAGGGCACAGCTGAATGGCTGTGCCTGCTGGGTATCTTTCTTTCCTTCTAGCTTGTTGCGGGGCTTGTCTTATTACACAACTGTACTTAATATCCTCAGTTATGTCTTCGATTTGACTTGCATTAAACTAAAGTCAGACTTTGTGGCTTGTCTCATTGGAGATCGCTTTCTGGTAACCTCTAGCTCTGACCTCTCCCCTGACCTCTAGCTCTGTCTGGGTTATGGACACTCCAAAGCTTACAAACTGGTGATTCTTCAAATGTGAAGTAGTCTTTACTCTCTTACAGTTTGGTTAAACAGTTGCTGACTACATTTGAAAGAATGTACCATGGGAGTGGGGGAAAAAAAAGGTGAGTTATGAAACTCAGGAGTCCCCAGGGCTGGCTAAATGGCAACCACACAGTTGTAAAACCACAGAAATTCAAACTAAACAAATACTGGGGACCTGAGAGGAGGTCTTACAGCATTGTGGGCCCCTGACATGCAGCACTGGCATCTGTTAGAAATGCAGATTCTCAGGCCAAACCCTGGAGCTCCTGAATCAGAAATATTGAGGGTGGAAGCCAGCCATAAGCATTTCCATAACTGAGTGATGCTGGTGACCAGTGAGAGCCATTAACCCAGGGACTTCAAATTCACATTCAATCATAGGTCTATTACTAATCTCCCTACTTTATATCAAGTAAATAAACCAGATTCATTGCATTTAAAATAAATACACAATGCTGGGTGCTGGTGGCTCATGCCTACAATCCCAGCTACTCAGAAGGCTGAGAGCTGATGATTGTGATTCAATTTTACTCCAAGCAGGAAAGTCAAAGAGACTCTTAACTCTAACAACCAAAAAGCTGGAACTGGAGCTGTGTCCCAAGTGGTAGAGGACGTCACCTGAGTTCAAGCCCCAGTACTGGCGCATCCAAACCAATGCACAAAAATACCCATAAAACTGCTATTCTCATTAAAATAACAGTGCATTTATTGTTTGATTTCTATGTATTTAAACTTAAGAATCTGAAAAAAGCACTGTTTTCAGTTAATGTTCCATCCATATGTTTTTATTTACTTAAGACACACAATCACTTTATATGAAATGTGCATGTTGGTGCATTTTAAGTATTTTGCAATATACAAAAAGCTTGCTAACCATTCCAACTTTGAAAACATACTTCCTTACTCATAGTTGTTAGCTCTAACACCTTCTTTTCTCATTAAATTACAACCAAAATTGGTACAACAATTCAAGGCCCATAGTATTTTTTTCACATGTCAGCAAGTTTAATCTTCATCAAATTCAGAGAAATTAGTTTTTAATAAGGATGAGGGTATGGAGGAACAGAGGGCTAAATCAACCTGCTCAAGTTCACCCAGATGGGAAGTAGCAGAGTTGGGGTAACAATAGGGTCTTTCAGTGCTCAGGAAATTCAGGTCAGGAAAAGGCGACTGTAAACTAGATTTAAACTGTAGTTTCCACTGAGGACTGGGGGCACAAGGAATCATTAGTGCAGAGAGCCATCTTGACCATGTGAAATACAGAGTAAAGCCAGGCACTGGTGGCTCTCGCCTGTAATTTCAGGAGGCTGAGCTCTGAGGATCACAATTTGAAGCCAGCCCAGGCAGGAAAGTCTAGGAGACTCTTAATCTCCAGTGAACCACCAAGAAGCTGGAAGTGGAGCTATGGCTTAAATGGTAGAGTGCTAACCTTGAGCTGAAAAAGGTAAGGGACAGCACCCATATCCTGAGTTTGAGCCCCAGTACTTTCACAAGAAAAATAAAAGTGAAAAAAGGCAATTTTGGGCTATAGATTCTTCAGAGAAGGCACTGTGTTTTGCTTGTAATAGATGTGAAAATGACTTATTACGTGTGTGTGCTATTTGTTACTTGTTATTTGTGTGTACCTGTCAGGGAACTCCCTAATAAAAGCAGCTAAACTTCCATTCATTCATCTATAAAGGTACTTCACACCTTTTCATGCACATTTTGGAGAACAAAACGAAAAGAAAAACCAACATACTTTTTTTCTGGCTGCACAACTGCTATTTTTCTCTTCTTTTGTGCTATAAAGGAAAAAAAAAAGAAGCAGAACAAGAAAATAATATTGTTAGTGAGACTACTACATTTTTTAAATGGCATAGTATAATAGTAGGCCCATTTAAAAATACTACTTAAACACTGAACAATTTTTCAGTCAAGCCACACTTTTATATACATTTCTCTGAACATAAAACAGATACAGACTCATTGGACATAAGAGCATAATAAAAATTAGCACATTTAATCTGACCACTACACTGGCTCTGCTTAGGAAGAAAAGGAGCTCTCATACTATACTTCACAAAAATACATATTAAGATAAACTGTTCCAAGTATGATGATCCAGAATTTTTTTCCCACTGAAATTGTGATTAAGACAAATAACACTTTTATAACAATGGACTCCCAAATTAGTCTAAAAAGCATGCACTTAAAACTGAAACACTGAAAAAAAAAACCCTGAAACACTGAATTACAGGAAGAACTGCTAGTGGTTAGCCACATATTGACAAAAACATTGACACTTTATCTTTCTAATTGATTAAGATCACCTTAACAAAACCAGACTAGGGCTCTTGCCACTATCTTGACACAAATAATCCTGCATCTTCCAACATAAACATAAGGTTTTACTGAAAATTCTAAAGCTGGCAGGAAAGAGTGCAAGTTTGTGTCCTTAAAGCAAAGTAAATAAGTAAATAAATGGAAGAATCAATAAGAGAAATATAAAATTTCACTCATTATTTGATATTCAATTGCAGTTATTCATGTACAAAGTATCAAAGTACAACTTTTCATCTTCCAGGTGAAAAAGGAATGTATAGCCCCTGTCTGACTCTCTGTCTTGTTACTAGGGTTGGGGACCTGGTTGGGTGCCATCTGGGTGAGGAACCAATCACAATATACCTGGAAGCAACATGGGAAATAACCAGGAAATACTATTGCATGTGTTCACCAACATGTGAACTTACTCCAAAAAGCAAAAGCACATGCAGCCTTCCAGATTCCTTTGCTTCCAGGAAGGGAAAAGACTTAAGATACCAGGTCCTATTTGAGGGACAAGGACAAAGGAAATGGAGCTCCAACCCTGTGAGAAAACCCAGCAAAGGTATTTCTAAGGCTGGGCACTGGTGACTCATGTCTATAATCCTAGCTACTTCGGAGGCTGAGAGCAGCCCAAGGCCAGTATAAACATACATGTGTGAGATTCCTCTCCATCAAGAACCAGATACAATGGCACATGCCACTGTATCAGCAGCATGGGAAGCTGACATTGGGAGAATGACAGTTCCAGGTCAGTCCAGACAGACAAGTGTATAAGACCTCATCTCAACAGAAGAAGCTGGGTGTGGTGGTAGGTGACTGTCATCTTTATGATGGCAAGCCTAGAGTAGTGGCCATGATCCAGGAATGAGCCTAGGCTGAAAGTGAGACCTTGTCTCCAAGACAACCAGTCAAGCAGGGTGCTGGTGGCTCACACCTGTAATTCTAGCTACTTAAAAGGCTGAAATCTGAGGATCTTGGTTCAAAGCCAGACTGGATAGGAAACTCCGTAAGACTCATCTCCAATTAACATCTAGAAAACCGGAAGTGGCGGTGCAGCTCAAAGTGGTAGAACCTTGAGTGAAAGAGCTCAGGGACAGTGCCCAGGCCCTGAGTTCAAGCCCAATAATCCAAACCAAAAACAAAACAAAAAACAAAAAGGTCAAAAAGGGCTGGAGGTTGGGGCTGGGAAGATGGCTCAGTGGTAGAGTGTTTGCCTTGCATGCATGAGGCCCTGGGTTTGATTCCTTAGTACCACATAAGCAGAAAAAGTGGGAAGTAGTGCTATGGCTCAACTGGTAGAGCACTAGCCTTGAGCTGAAGAGCTGAGGGACAGTGCCCAGGCCCAGGGAGTTCAGGCCCCACGACCAACAAAAACAAAAAAGGGCTGGAGGCATGGTTCTCTGGTATAGTATCATTCTAGTAAGCACAAGACTCTGTATTCAAATCACAGTATACAAAATAAATAAAAACAAACACATTGAATATAAAATATTTATTCTTAGGGAGCTCTCTCTTCATCCCCCACTAAAAATTATCCAACTTCTTTGTGTACTCAGAGAGTACAGCCAATAGTCAGGTATGAGGATAATGTAGTGAGCACTGAGTCAAGGAACACTTCAAAAACTGCAGAGAGCAGGGAATGAGAAGTCAGCTATGTTGGGAATCTGTTTACAGCTAAATCCTAGAAATGTCAAGTAGCATGCCATAGAATTGGTTGCTAAAAAGAAATAGAGCTGGCACTCGATATCCATAAGGAAACTACTAGAATCATAATCTAACAAAATGTTGAAACCCATTATTGTTAAGGCTTCATGAATTTTAAGTAATACCCTTGATGTACATTAAAGTGGAATAGTAAGTGCTAAGATGTATTAAGATAGAATATTTTAAGCCATATGATTTGATAATGATCTATAATAATGTATATTAAAATTTTGGAGAACGATGGAAGGGGTGACATCGATCAAGATGCATTGTACTCTGACTTATTAATATCTTGTTAAACAGACGCCCCTTTGTACAACTACTTTAAAGATAATAATAATCTTTAAAAGTAAAACAAAAAACTATTATTCTAAGTATTTAAATGTGCCTAAGTATAAATTATGAATGTGTGTGTATGGGTGCATGCTGAATTGGTCAATTACTAATATTGATTTTATCTATTATTTCTGAGTTTAAAAGGATATGAGATAATACATGTATTACTTATAAAGTCTAGATAAAATTTCACCTATCACTTACTGCTAAGTAGGCTTGATATTATCTCAGTAAATGACAAAGAGTGAGTATAATTCCTTTGGGGGAAATTACATGTAAAAACATTTTTTCAAAGAAATGATATACAAAAATACGCTATTTGAGTTTCTTCCCCCAAATCAAAAAATGGCTTTCATATAAAACTGGGAGTGAAGATTTTGGGTATTTTTTGCTATGGCTCTCTGTGTCCTTTAAATGCCTTCTTATTCAATTTGTCAGCCTGTGGAATATATTCAAATGTCCTGTCCATCTCATGTAGATACTTAAAGGGTAATTAAGACTACAACAATATTGGTACTCTTTGAAACATCTAAAACCTCTCTTTCAGTTTTTACATCCTGCCTGTTTATAACCCATTGTTTCTTCACCAAGATCATAGATGTTTTCCACCTTCTATGGGCCACACTTACAGACTGTCTTGTGGGGTGCAGTCAAAGGGTAGGCATTGGCTTCGCACCAGCCCACCGGGAAGATATCCATGGATTCCACATCAACGATGACCTCTGGCACAGGAGACTGCAGACCTGCATGGGAAGAAGCCAAGATGATAGGTACCAACAAAGAAAGAGAAGGAGAAGGAAGTAACAGAGCATCTGAGAAATACATTGCTGTGATGGCTTTAAAAACAATGATAACAGCATGGGAAATAGGACTTTTTAGTAGTCTATGGTCTTCTGATGGATACAAATGCTTGAATTGTAACAGAATACAGGGGACTTCAAATGAAGTAGGGAGTGGAGAATAAGTTATTTTTCCCTGAATATGGAGAGGGAGGACTCTTGGAAAACTCAGACTGGATCCAGATATTGCAGAAGAAGTGCTCCCTTTCCTAAGAGAAGCTATGAAACTTAAGGAATGTGGTGAAAATAAGGGGCTGAGGTGCCATGCACGTCACCACAACTACCTCACTCAACTCCAAGTGTAGAAGTACCTTTAACTAAACATCCACCATTACACCTAGAAGCAGCTACTAAATGGGACCCCACTGATTGCGGGGGGGGGGAGGGGAGAAGCAATTCCCCCAGGGCCTGTATCAACACGCACTAGTCGTTTCTGCAGGAATGTGGGGTTCCTCCCCCACAAGATGGTCCTGATCATCACACAGGGTGTCTAATTCAAAATGATGCCTTGTGATAAATCGGCATCACAGCCAGGAAATTCTGAAGAGGACCAGAAATCTGGATTAAGCAATAACAAAAGTTTCAAGGCACGCTGGCTAAGGAGAGAAGTGATGTGGAATCTAACCCATTAGTTACAAGAAAAATCCTACACCCAATCAATAGCTCTCAAGAGAAATAAAATTAAAAAACCAACAACAAAAAGCAGCCACTTTGAGGGAAGAAATCTTGAACAAGGAATCAAAAGGTAAGAGCTCTATTAACAGATAGTGACTCTTGGCCTCTGACCACTTAATCTAGAGTGCTCTGGTTTCCTTGCTGAGGACGAGGATAAAAACACAAAAGAAAACCCAGCCACACAATCATGTCACCATACAACATCTGATGAATTTTATCTCATATCTTCTCACCTCCCCTAAACTCTGAGACTACCAGAAACTAAGTAGCTTCGTACAACATAAAATGCTCCTAACTTACATCAACTCCAACTTCTCATCCTAAGGAAGAAAACTGATGAATGAAAACTTATAATTTAATATTAAACCATGTTAGTTAATATTAATTTTCTATTTGCTGATTAAATTTCCCATTAAAATTAACTTCCCATTTGCTGATCCTGTAATCTGCAGGGCATGTAAATTGAAGGAATAGAAGGCAGGCCTTAGGGCTTACTTTTCAACCAAGGTAAGTAGAAATCATGTCTGTCTAATATTGTATGATTTTAAACTATATAGAGTAATTGTCAAATGAGTCATCAAATAATAAGACAGACAAAAGGCAAATAATTTTTTTCCTACTATTAATGAAGTGATTAAAACTGTAAAAGTGCCTAAAAGGTATATATAATTCACCAGAGATCCAACAGAAAGAGCTATTGGATATATTCCTAATTTTCTTTTGGAGTCATAAAAATATCATTTTTTTCTCAGAAATTTTACCAAAATGTTAAATCCAACTGCCAGAAACATCTGTATTCCCAGATTGATGTTTAGCTATAAATAAGATGAAAAGCAGTGCTTCAAAGGAGGCATAAAGTGGACTTTATAGCTTAAAATTTCATCCCAAATGTTGACTTTCATGTCTCAATGTTCTGTTAGTTCAAACATCACATCATATTAATGCTTTAATATATACACTTCTGTGAAATGTATACATTCATAAGTCATTACAGATGCCTTTACAATACTTACAAATTCTTTGATCACCCAATTAAACAAATTATGTATAAATTAAAGAAGTGTCAGCTATCCTTTCCTCAAAAAGCTTATAGTCCTGTCTTTCTCTTACCCCACATCTAGCTATTGCATAAGAACCAATGGGAATATGGGGGATTCATCACTGAGGCAAGTTTTTTCAACCCCGCACTTTTGAAATCTCCTCCTGGATGGCAGGTATCAATTCTTTATTTGCTTTTTATTAGCTTTACCAATCTAGATACATCTGGCCAACCTCTGAGTAATCTTTTACAGAAAACCCTTGTGTTCTAAGATTTGGGGGCCCAAGCTTACAAAACAATCTATTCAAAATGTGTGCAATGCACCTTCTTGCTTCTTCTAGGACTATCAACATTACATATGAAAAGGCAGATATTTCATTCATCACCAATAGGTGTAGTGTTTATCTTCTTTTTCCTGTGTTTTTAAAATCAAGCAGTTGTACAAATAAGTTACAATTCAATCATGCTTCTTGATCAGTGTTACCTTTTCCATCATCCCTTTCATATTTATCAATTTATTTTTTTAGAAACTCCCTTATGAAAAGCACAGAATCATACTCAATCTTGGTCTCTTGTCTATATCCTGTCAGTTTGAATCTATTCAAACAATTCTTACCCAGCACCAACACCTCAAAACCTATCAGGAAGCTGAAAACTCCCTCAACAAAAAAAGTAGGTTAGTTTCAAATGACAGATTATCATGCAGATAGATAGATAGATAGATAGATATATCTGCATGATAATCTCTCTCTCTCTCTCTATATATATATATAGCTGCAATGATATATAGACAGATAGATATAAAAGAATGAGAAACCTCTTGATATAAAGATCTCCTAACTATAGCATGTAATAAGAAAATGCAGGGTACAGAATCTTGTTCCTCAAGAACAGATTGTCTACTGCAGTCTGTTTTTAAATGGGAGAATAACATATACTTGTATGTGCATGAAGTAAATTTGCAAAGAATTGCAAAATATGAACACAGTGGGTGTCAGTGGGAAAGGAACATGATGGGTAAAGGATTGGGGGCCAAGAGTGGGGGGAGGGGTGGATGGTGACCAAAGATACTTTATGAGTTTTAAGTCGTTGTGAATAAACTGCCTGTTTTATAGTCACAACCTGCTGGATTACTGGAATAACAACACAACAAAAGACATCCAGAGAAGAAAGGAAAAGTCTCATACATATATATGGCATTGCATCAATATGCACATAAATGCAGCCTTGCATAAATATGTACCTAAGTGTGGCATTGCCACTGAGGTTGGTTTAATCAAAGGCATGTTCTCATAAAGAGAGTAAGATTAAACTGCTTTGAATTGCTTCACTGCTAAAAGAAGTCTCTCCCTATTGCCAGGGTAAATTCACGAGCATGTGAACTTTTGAGAATCACAATGGAACTCTTAAAATAATCCTGCAATTTCCTATCTCTTCAGGATGTCGTCCTCAGATGAAGCAGGCCACGCAGTCCTACTTGCACTTGTGACTACAAGAGCTCTGGTAGAGCTCAATGCAACCACTGACACTGGGCGTCGTAACAGAGTTGATTACCTATTCTACCTATACCCTCAGAGGAGAAGGGAAGATGGTGCATATGGACATTTTAACGCCTTCCTAGTAACTCAATCCTATCAAACTCCTAATGCCAAGTGATTACTTCATTTGCAGCAAACCACAGAAAAGAGGGCAGACATGGGTGAGGTGGAGAATAGAGATGCTTTGGGAGCGCCACAGGCAGGAGGGATGTGAGAGGAGAAAGGCTAAGAGTCAACCCGAAGGAAGGTAAGTGATTTCCATCTTCTTTGGCAACAGAATCAGAACCTCTTCATGTTGGGTAAAAGCTGGGACAGGAAGAAAGATGGGGTGCAGAAGGGAGCATGTTAACTGTGTTAATATCCCCCAGTGAAAGCCAAAAGACTGGGTGAATGCTCAGGGGCTCAAGGGTGAGATAGGAGAACAGGTAGGAAAAATGCAAAGAGAGCCAGACTCTCCAAGAGCAAGTGAGATGTGGGGAGGTTGGGCTGCATGCCTTCTATACCACCAATGCTAAGCTACGTGGTAGCTTTTTGAGTATCCTTTGCCCTGCAGCCAACTTCCTAGAGAAAACAGATGGACAATACCATAGCTAGCAAGATCCAGGTGTTGTCTGAACAAAAACAGTAGAAATGGAATTGTGTGTTGATGAACTATGTGTGTGTGTGTGTATGTACCTGTGTATGTGTGTAGAATTCCCACAATGACACATGCAGCACTTATTACACAGCAGATTCTTTTCCATACGTTTAATCCTCACAACAACCCTTAGAACACAGGAGCCTTGCTATCCCCATTTTCCAGATGTGTACATCGAGGTACAAGAAATGAACCACCTAGCAAGTGAATGGCTTAGGATTTGAACTTGGGTGATTGGGCTCCAGGGCCTTAGAAAGCACATGAGGCTGGCAGTTTCCATTCCTTCTCCTCCTTTTACTGGGAGTGAGCCACTCTCAATTTATTCCCTTCCCAGACCCCATTTCAGAGCTCTTATAACCAGAGAAGAAGCCATATCAATCCCAGCTCTGTGGGCAGGCTCAGCCTCTCTCCAGAGCTTCAGCATCTTGAGAACATGGTCACTCTGAAGTCACACCCATCACAGTGGCAGCTAAACCCCCCCCAGTTTTGCTTTTGTTCCTCTGCAACACCTTCTAGAGCCTCTCATTCATAACCTCCAAACAAGTCCCATTCTCCTTTAAGACTGCTGGTGTCACCGAACATCACCCTCCTGAATGAAATGAAGTCTGTAACCTGTAAGGTCTCTTCTCATAAGTAGCTCTTCATCTTGAGCATCTTTTTCATGCGTCCAGAAAAGCCTGTTCTTATAGCTTGATTGACCTCATGAAAGTCACACGTTTAAAGACCTTAAAGCTACCACTGGGCTTGAAATATAATTATTTCTACATCTGTATTTCCCTTGCCTCATTTTTGCAAGCATTGGCAAAATGCTTAGTAACTACCTGAGTTTTTCACAAATGAAAGGAAATTGAATGAGCTGTTTTCTGCATCTTATCTCTTGTACACAAGAAGTTAACACCAACATTTTCCCCCCTGAACCACAAGCACCTTGCTCCTGTGACTTACTGTTGTATTTAAAAAAAAACTGCATAAAAGTCACCGGGGAGATGCTGGGACCTCGTGGCTCACACCTGTAATTCTAGCTACTCAGGAGGTTGAGCTTTGAGGATCGTGGTTCAAAGCCAGTCTAGACAGGAAAACCCATGAGACCCCTCTCTCCAATTATGTACCAAAAAAGCCCGAAGGAGAGCTGTGGCTCAAGTGTTATAATGCTAGCTGTGACCACAAGAGCTCAGGGAGAGCATCCAGGCCTTGAGCTCAAACCCCAGCAGAAGGGAAGGGAGGGTTTTATAATGCCAGTTGCCAGGCCCTACTTGGGGGTGGGGGAGTAAGAGGTGCCCTTTGGAATGTGCAGTTTGTTAGGACTCAGGTTGATTATAAAGTGGAGGGTGGATTACTGAAACTGAGACCAGCATTTTGAATACCGGCTCAAGGAGTGTCTGAACATCAGATTAGAAGTGCAAAATATCTTTCTCACACTGTTCGGGTGGGAAAACAGCAGTTCTTAAGAGACTGTCACATCTTAAATGGCTGTTTGATTTAGAAGCACACAGCCTGTTTAATCCTTCTGTCTACTCAGTAAACATTTAGCGAGCAAAGTGCACATGAGGTCTTATACAAACACCGTGCTGTGTGAGGTGCAGACAGGGACAGAGCCCCATGTAATGACTTGTCACATCGATAACACTATCAAGATTCTTGAAGACACAGTGTGTGGTTCTTTCTAATGGAGCAAGGGCTCCCGCAGGCAGGCAGATATCCAATGTCAGCTCTGACCTGCCTACACTGCGCCTTTACTCCCACCTAGCAGCCGTGACGGTGAGCACTGTGAGGAAATGAATTTACTCAGCGAATCGCCACAACCAGCCTGTGAGTCAGGCTACCATTAGCCATGTTCTATAGAGACCTACAAAGAAGAAGAGATTTTTCAACTAAAAAAGAGCTCGATACTCCCACATCTGGGAAAGCAGCACCCCAGGCCATGGAATTTAGTCTTGCACCGGGAAGAAACTGACTCATTGAACATTAGCAAGAAGGCCATGATAGTACTTAATAAAGTACTGATGCTTTTTGAGCATCATCATGCTACAACTAGTGGAAAATCAGATACTATGAAACTTTGTTTCAAGGCACAATGACTTAAGCATAACACATATAAAATTACCTTCAGGCTCTGGGATCTATAGGAAACATAAATGAATTTCATGTTTAGATTTGGATTCCACCCCCAAGATATCTATTAACCTATCTGCAAATATTCAAAAGCCCACACATGTGGTCTCAAGAACCCTGCATACTGGGTACTCCTCCCGCATTTGGCTAAGTACCCAGAAGTGTCTCAGAAAGTACACCTGACAAGAGAGGACAAGGAAGGCAACAGGAAGGTGTGAGCCCTCTTAAGGGTTCAAGAGCCAAAAGAACAAGTAAAACACTAAGACTATCTTTGTCCCCTCAAAAAACACTCTAAAATGAAGATCCAATGATCGGTGTGTGAGGAGGCAGATGTGTAAGTGCAAACCGCAAAGCACTGAACTGGATGGAAACATCTTGTATTTAGGAGTAATGCTCCCGACTGTAGGGTATGGTGATTAAAGTAAGAACCATGATACCTGCTCCCAAACATTGAGTCATCACTACGTATAGCCCTTCCCACTGGCTTATATGAACTCAGTTCCTTTCCCAATACTCATCTAAAATAACATATATTAATCTCACCTATTTTATTCATTGTTTCCTTTCCAACAGAGGAGCCTTTAAAGAGACTTAGGTAAAAAATTAACTAGCAATGATCATTTTACTATCTAGATGTAGTCAGTCACATGCTGAGAAGATTTCAAATCAATCTAATCCATAACAACAACTAATAAAATCCTTATAAAGTGCATTCTAATTTTAAAGGGTCAAATAAATGGTCTATAATCAGAATCATATAATTTAACATCCTCATATAAGATAATTTAATGGCTACAATGTTACCATAACGTAATAAATGCTTATCATTTTATCCTCAGGACTGAGAAAGGAAACTGTGTGTGTGTGTATGTGTGTGTGTGTGTGTGTGTGTGTGTGTGTGCATTCATGTATACATATATAAGTAAAAGTACAATAAATAAGTTATTAAGCTGTCAGTTTAAAAGGTAAGTGATTATTAAGAACTAAAATCCAGAAAAATCAAAGCAAGATCAAGGAGACAGACTGGATTTTTACTTTGTTTATAATGTATTTTTTAAGTGATGAAACATATAAATGATTTGGACCAATAATAAATACCAAATAACAGTCAATAAATAAGATAGAAATTTCAGTAGAAAATGTTCAACAGTGTGTTTATAAGTACTTACACATAAATAGAAGTATACAAAAATGGGAATATATGGAAACAAATATATAAATGGACAATCTATTTTCTGACTTGTTTCCTAATGTCAAAGCAGTCAATAAAAAAAAAGCTAACATGCTGATTTCCTTTCCTTTTTGGCTACCAGACTGAAAGTTTATATCTAAAGGATAGCATCAAAAGAAGAAAGTTCTGCCAAAAGTGTTAAATATTCTTCAATCCTGCTCAACACTCTTCTATCAGGAGGGAAAGCTACAGAGTCAAGTGAATTAAGCAACAGAGAAAATGTCAACCACAATGACATGAACCCCAGGCAGATCTTAATGGCTTCGCAAGATTTTTCCCTCTGAAAATCAGGACACACTTACTGCTGTTTGTGTTAGGTAATTAACAGCTGTAAAACACACTGAAAGTAGAAACTGCTAAATAAATAATGACTGCCAAAGAATTTTACTCATCATGTGCTAAATAATAACGATGAAACATGGGCTCCTAACTTTACCAATTTGGTTTCCAAATTAATAATGCAAGCAAGACTCCAATCTCATTAACATGGCTTAGCATAGTGTTAAATAGCAAGTTAAATTTAGTGATTAGAAACACAGAAGGCGTCGTGTGTCTCCAAAAGCAGTTGATGCAACTCTTTATGCAGCAATGAAAACAAAGCCACGCTCTATTCCTATAAATGTAAAACTATTACCACTCTGTCTGTCTTTGGTTGATTTCAGGAAGCTGTTCTACTTAAAAATACACTAAGCAAAATGAGCCCTTAAGAACTGTTATTTATTCCAAATTTGAAACTAATCATAGCAATGTTTAAAACTATTTTCTGAAAAATTAACAATTGAACATCTACGAAGACTATTCTCTATATTTTTCTTTTCTTTTCTCTACATTTACTTTTGCAAACACCTTTTTAAAACCTGTTAATAAGGAAAACAGGGATGAGATGATAAAAGCACCAATCTTAGACCTTCCGTCCAACATTTCTACCTCAGTGTTGTCATGAGTATGTTGTAGGATTTAAACTCTGCAGAGACCAGAAGAGCTGGCAATACTGTACAATATTATACAATATTGTACAATGCCTAGCTTTTCTTTTGCTATGGCATGTATATTCTCATTAACTTCAGAGTTCTGTGAAATCTTGGAAAAAACAAAGAATTATACAAGTCATGGGAAAATATGAAGGATTAAATTCATATCAGTTATTCCTCATGAAAAACATAATATCTGGTAAAATCAGCATTCTAGCTAAATCTAAAATTTGATCAAGGTTCTATTCACAAAATGTACTGTTCTGTGAATGTTCTGTACGCTTACAAATAAAGTGTAGCTATAAAAGGCAGTTTCAACATTACTGACTATGCAATATACATCTTAATTATTATCCATTTGGGGAGGTAGTTAGCCCCCACCCAATTAGTATTTTAAGAGAAAATTAAATGTCTATATAAGAAATCCAAATAAAGGGTATTATTCGTATTAAAATGCAAACATATCATTTGATTCCTATAATAACTGAGCCCTTAAATACCATTTTTTAGTGACTCATATTAATTTAATTGTGACATTAGCTTTCATAATCATAGATGTAAAAAGACCACTGTGTTCCAAACATAATTATCTCACCGGCATTTCATTGCATGAAATTATTAGTTAAGAGGAGCGCCTTGGAATGCATTTGTATCTGATTAGTTTCACTTATTTAAGAACACTGAATAATTTAAAATCTGTTTAATCAGAGGGGAAACAAGAGGAGCAATTCTGAGTGGTGAATTCTGTACCCTGTCCTTTCCGGAGGGCAGGAGGGAGAGTAGTAGCTCAAGTTCTTCAGGCAATTATGAACTGCACCTACCTTCTAAATGAAGCCATAGCAGCCGTCCCTTCACACTGACCACGGAAGCCACGCAGAGTTCTCCTGGATTCCTGGGATTCACAGCTTCAAGTTTCATATTCTTGGTGAAACCCCGACTAAAAGATGTCTAAAAGAGAAACAGAACCAGCACTGAGCCAGTGGCTGACAGCAGGCCACATAGGTGACCACAGGGCTGTCCAAGAATATTCGTGAACGAACCTGAGGAGAGAACCTTGACTTCTTAGTTCTCATAGCCCAGAAATGAGAACAATGCTTAGCACATAGAGGGTGATTAATATTTATCAAAGGACAGTATACATACCTTCTCTCTTTACAGTTCCACATGCACCCTGATTTTATTGATCACTAATGTGCATCTCGACTCTATTCGCCCACATTTTTGTTTAAAATCATCCCTTGAGGGGGTACAGGTAGGCAGATGAAGTGATCACCTGACATTATTTTCTTTGAAAGGACACTTGAAAAATGTCTCCTAGCATTTCTTTCTTTCTGCATGGTTGTTGATGATTTGGTGCTAATACTAGGGTTTGAATGCAGGGCCTCAAGCTCTTACGTGGCTATTTTGCTCAAGGCTGACACTCTACCACTTGAACCACAGCTCCACTTTTATCTGTTTATTGGTAAACTGGAGATAAGAGTCTATTGGATTTGTCTGTCTGGGCTGGCTTTGTGCCACAGTCCTCATAATTCAGCCTTGTGAGTCAATCAAGATTACAGGTGTAAGCCACTAGTGCCCAGCTTAGCATTTCTTATAGGAAGGTCTGCCAGTGATGAATTCTGTTTTCTTTCATCTGAAATTACCTTTACTTTCCTTTTCCCCCCTTTGGTTTTATTTATTTATATTCATTTTTTTAAATTAACTTTGCAATTTTTACATATAGTAAAATGCCCTGGCTCAGGTGAGCTGTTTTACAAAAGTAGGACTGGAGGACCAATGAGGGATTCAGTCACATGCTCTTCACCGCAAGTGAGCTGCAGAAGAGATGATGCTCACATTCTCCAAAATCCCTTTTCTGGTTCCCTGGCACCCGGGCCTGCCTCCTCAAGCCACAGCTCCAAGCAATTTCCCATCTATGCCTTGCCTTTCTCATTTTATATTCATGTAAATGGAATCACACTATATCCAGTTTTTTGAGTCTAGTTTTTTTCCCCTAAGCCACAGACATCTGAGATTCATCTATGCTATTGCTTGTTCTGTTTTATTGCTGAGTAGTTTATGTATCACTGTTTACCCATTTACCAGATAAAGGACACGTGAGTCATTTTCAATAGTAAGTAACGGTGAATCAATCTGCTGTGCACAATCAGGTGCAAGTTCTTATATAAATGGAAGTGTTTTTGTTTTTACAACTAAGTTTATTTTCTCATAGTTCTGGAGCCTGTAAGGCTGACAAGATGTCATCAAGTTGGTCATCAAGATGGAACCACATTGATGGTTGGGTGGCTTCTCTGCTTGGCTTGTAGAAGGTCATCTGATCATGTGTTCTTATATGGTCTTCACTCTGTGTGTGTGTGTGTGTGTGTGTGTGTGTGTGTGTGTATGTGTGTGCATGCACACGCACACATACACACACACATGTGCATGCCCTCTAATTTCTTCTTATACAGACACTAGTCATAGTGGATTAGGACTCACCAATATGGCCTTCTTTTATCTGAATTACTTCTTCTACCTACCTCTAATACACACTTTAAGCAAAGGTATGTGGAAGAGGATTAAGATTTGATCACATGAATTGTGAGGGACCCAGTTCAACCTTTAACACTAAACTTTTGTTTCTTTGAAAATAGGATTGCTGGACCCTATGACAAATGAATGCTTGCTCTTTGAAGAAACTGCACAATTCTCTTCCAAACTGGCTACACCATTTTGCATTCTGACCAGCAGTATGTGAGTGTTCCGGATTTTAGAAGTCCTCATCAGCACTTGGTATTTAAACACTTAAACACTTTTAGCCATTCTCTTAGGCATCTAGTGGTAAGTCACTGGTTTTAACTTGCATCTCTACTACTGACTGACAAGTCAGAGTTTGATGGGCTTCAAATGACAAACTATTGAGATGAGCCCAAATCTTAGTTCTCTGCTTTTATCCTTAACTACCTGGCACATACATGGCTCAAAGATCAGCCACACATGTTGGTAGCATTTATACCTACAACTTGCAAGTTTCCCTTGCCTGAAACACCTCCCACTTTCCAGTATCTTAGGTTGCCAAAATTCTATAATCTGGCTCATCAAGGCGGAAAAGCATGTGAATTTTCTATCATGCTTTAAGTTGTTCCCCAAATTGACAACTCTGTCTATGTTCATGCCAAAGGCTAAAAACTGGGAAAAGCAGGTCATGCTGCTGCTTCTTGTCCAACCACTTGTTGCCCTCCAGAACAGCCTGTTCAGTTCATTCTTTTTTTGGGGGTCCGGTCGTGGGGCCTGAACTCTGGGCCTGGGCGCTGTCCCTCAGCTCTTCAGCTCAAGGCTAGTGCTCTACTACTTAAGCCACAGCTCCACTTCCGGCTTTTTTCTTTTTGCTTATGTGGTGCTGAGGAATCGAACCCAGGGCCTTGAGCATGCAAGACAAGCGCTCTACCACTGAGCCACCTTCCCAGCCCACTGTTCAGTTCATTCTGCAGTCACTTCCTGTATTTGTTTTCGGTACTTGTCTGGAGTTAAATTGCTTCAGACGGATCAATTCAGAAGGAGTTTCCTCAGTCAATACTAGAAGCAAAATTCCTTCCTTATTACTGTTTTTAAATAAATTATATGAAATCTTCCCAAATCATCAGTCACTACGAATTATAACTCGATATGTTACAATACTATAGCAACACATCTTGTCTGAGATACATAAACTGACATAAACAGGTTCCTGTAAGTAATAGAGCCTACAACTTTCCATGACTTGTGAAAAGAATTCAAGGTATCTAAATCATAGTTGTGTCTTTCTACAAAAAACAAGTTGAAAAATGCAATCATATCTTTATGTAATCAGAATAAAACCACATACTTCATGTTAAAAAATCAATTTTCTCTTTTCTTTATGACTTATTGGAAAGAGAAGCAGAGGCATTTTTTTTTTCTAACTGGGCTTTTTTTCCCTGAGAGTCATCTCATCTCATCTACACACATTATATGTTGAGATTCTTCCTGATAATACAACTCAATAGGCTGCTTGAAAAACCTTTAAGTAAATTCAAATGCATTTTATCTACTTAATAAAGGAAGGCTACCACCGCCAAACCTATTTTCATTTCAACTCACTGCTTGAGGGTAATTTCTAAGGGATCAATAGCAAAACTGTTACCTCTGAGTTTTATTTTACTAAGCATTTGCCTGTGCCAATCCATTTCATAACCGCCTCTGATTGTTAAACATCCCAGGGGGAAATGTGTTCCAAGCATCCAATTCTATACCAGCTCTCTTGTAGTACACACAAGATGTGTGATTAAAAAGTAAATTCATAATAGACATTCCATTAAAGAGCACTTGTAGCAAGCTAGTAGCAACAATGCAATGCATATGCCAATAGGCAGACAACAAGTCTGCCTATTAAAATAAACAGAAAACCAGAAACAATGCCATTCCTAATGAATACACAAGCACATTCATTAAAGCGGATTTAACCTTGGTGGCTAAAGCTGGAAAATACAGATGCCAACTGAGTATGTGACTTCTTGCTCCACAATTAAAAGACATTTAGGCAAATCCTGGTTCAAAGAAAGCCAAAGATTGAAAGAAAAAAGAAGAAGAGGAGGAAGAGGGAGGAGAAGGGAGGGAGGAGGCAGCAACAGAAGCTTTAGGGGAACTATGTAGTTATTCCTAAAGTACAGAACAAAGGGGCTACATAAAAATTCCCTTCCCAAGACTGAAGACTCAGGGAAGGCCTATACATTGTAAGGTAGAAAGCACAATCTAAAATGGACTTTGGGGGCATTAAAGGGAGTAAATGAAAGACAGCCAGGCAGGTGATTCTGAGATGGCGACATCAATGTCACCACACTGATATCCAGGAAGTATCACTGCACTTAAGAAGCCTTAGGACTCATTGGCTGATGTCTTCATGGTGCTACAAGGCTGTGACCCTCATCACTTAAACATATGCCAAGTAGTTCTTCAGAGACACTGTTGTCTGTGCAAAAGCAATGTCTTCCAGTGGAAAGGTCATTTACCCTCCACGAAGCCCAATTTCCAACTCTGGCCCCTATTTCCTCCTAGATTTATAAGGACATGTCCTCTTAACCTTCTACAATCTCATTTTAACTTCTGCTTAGTCTTGAGCTTCCACTAAGCAGACCCTTTTCTCTCTGGCTGTCCAAAATCTGTGATCCTGTCGTAGAAATGACGTCAGGGATGACTCAAAGTCAATAGTGCCAGGAGCTCAGGCTCAGAAACAAGTCTGACAAGAGTGTGCTTCATAAAACTACCTTGGATAACTATATAAACACACACTGGTTGCTATCACAAAAATCCTATCAGTATGCTGGTGAGGTATTTTTGAATAAGGTAGTGGCTTAAGTAAAGCACAAAACTCTTCTTATTGATTATTGAAGTCCTTAATAAGGTAATCAAAGAAAAAAATAAGATTATAATTTTTCAGAAGTCTCAGGAACAAAGCCTTGCCTAACAGTTGGCTCAGCATTATAACATCATATGTTAAGGACATATCCTATGGTGTACCGTTGATGGCTACTGTGCACTGGTATTTGTACAATCTTCCCCAGTATGATGTCATAGCTAGGATATAGTAACTCTCAGCCCAAACACATTTCTTGGCATCACTTACAACAGCTGAGAGATTAAGTCTCATCAATGGAAGGTAGAGCCATATAATATATGTCACCACCAGACTACTGTAGTTAGAATGAAGGATTTTATCCTCTTAATCTTTTTTCTTTTCTGCTGGCTCTCTCAGGTGCTAAGTCTAGCCCATGTCTCACCAAAATGAGAACCACCCACTAAAGACAGCACCTTGAAATATTCTTATTTTTATATTTTATTTTATTTTTGTCGGTTGTGGGGCTTGAACTCTGGGCCTGGGCACTGTCCCTCAGCTCTTCAGCTCAAGGCTAGCGCTCTACCACTTGAGCCACAGCACCACTTTCGGTTTTCTGAGTTTTATTGGAGATAAGAGTCTCATGGACTTTCCTACCCAGAAAGTCATGGACTTTCCTGCCTGGCTTTGAACTGCAATCCTCAGATCTCAGCTTCCTGAGTAGCTAGGATTATAGGCATGAGCCACGGGCACCCAGCTTACCTTGAAATATTCTATAAGCAATAAATAAACCTTTAACAGGCTAAAGTCACTGTACATTTATTAGTCAATTTGCTCCTACAGCTAAAGGGAAACTTTTGAGACACTCTGACGGCGTGTGATGCTGATAGACAGCAAACTGTATAGCGAACAGCATCCATGATATACAAAGGGGTAAGAGGGGAAGTCACTTACATTTCTGAAGCAGAAGGGGGGTGCTTCCTCTGCTGCATGCTGCTTATGATAATCTGCCCAGTCAAAGTCCTGGCCAGAGTAACCTGTGAATGACAAAATATAGATATCATCAGCTGGGCCAAGGCAAATGAGCAATCCTCCTCATGGGTAAGTGACAAGAATGAGTAAGTGGTCACCACCATGCCATTGAAAGGCAAGCCTAACAGTCTTCTGGATTTGAGGAGGGTGGAGTGAGACACTTTAGAAATTGTAATGTACTGAATCTGAATACAAACGAGGCACACCTTTGTGATCCTAAGGTTGCACCTAGAACCAGATGAGGAAGGATGGACTTTACCTACAGCCCTGCAGTGGCTTTTCCCCAGTGGGGAGATTTGCTATCAGGGAGGACACATGAAAGAGAACACAGCACACACACATTCTTAGAATCCATTTTTTTCAGACATAAACAATGATACTTACCTTCATATGCATTGGGGAAGAAAAACAGAGGAGATGACTTAAAAATGTAATCAAATGAACAACAGAAGGCTAGTAGAGGAATAAAGGTAAGGGAGACAAAATCCCCCAAAGAAAAGAAGGAAGAGAAGGAATGAAGGTAAGCTTCTCTTTGACCTGTATTGCTGAAAAGGAAGGAAAGGAGAGTTGACACAGGGGCCTCTCTGGTGTGATGGTTTGAGGGCACATCTGAGATTCTGGGAGGAGCCTGAGAAGCAGCTACTTGTGTGCATGGAATTTAATTAAATACCGCTCTTGCCCGTGTCACTTTACTTATTGACTCCATTTTTACAGGAAGACATGGAATTATGCAATATACATCCACCATAGCAGCCATGAAAAGATGAGGTGAGAGGAGAGTTTGGAATCAAAAATAAGAAAAACACAACTCAAAGCTAAAGGCTCACACCTGTAATCCTAACTACCCAGGAGGCTGAGATCTGAGCATCACTATTTGAAGCCAGCCCCTACAGACAAATCCATGACTCTTGAATTAACCAGAAAAAATGTTGAAAGTGTAGGTTTGTCTCAAGGGGTAGAGTGGCAGCCTTGAATGTAAAAGTTAAGCAAGACTCGAACTCTGAGTTGAAGACCCAGTATTGGAAAAAAAAAAACACACACACACACACACACACAGACACACAAACACACAGACATACACCACACAGACAGACAGACGCACAACACATACACACACACACACAAAACCAACTTTCTGAGGTGGAGGGGAGGATCTAGCTGGAATACAAAACATTTGGGGATGCTCATATATTTGGGTCTACTGTAGGATCAACATCTACTTAGATAAAACTTTCCAATTAAGAAGTCACTCCATGGAAGTGAACGTGAAACTCAAGAGGTAGAGCACTAGCCTTGAGAGAAAAAGCCAACTGAGAACACCAGGCCCCTGTGTTCAATCCCCAGTACTGGCATACACATTTTTAAAAAAGCCCCCCTCACCCCTATTTCTTACATAGAGACATCTAGCTGGGCTTTAGAGCCACCTTTTAATGGGCTTTAAAATGTCACCCTCTGTGTTGTCTTAGATGTGAATTCAATTCTTCTATATATCCAAGCTTTGAGAATGACTGCAGGGAGCCATTTTTAATCTAATAATTTTTAGATATAATCAAGTCTTGCTGGGTATTATCTAAGCAACAATTAATTATTCTGCCTCTAAAATTCACTCCTTTGCTTAACGTTGGAACAGCTTAGACTTTTCTTCCTTCTCCTTCTCCTCTCAGGGAGCCTTATTCACTCCATCAGTTAAAATTCTTTTCCTTTGGGCAGATAATGAGCTTTCTTTGTAAGGCAGTTTTGTGACAGCTCAGAAAATAACTGCTACATAAAAACAAATTGCCATGGATTGTATAATAGAGACAAGAGGGGTCAATTATACTCATTAATCAACAAAGACAGCACAAGAAATGCTGAGGCTGTAGCCAGGAAAACATGTTTTCAGCCTGGAGGGAGGGGGAGAAAGAATAGAGAGGAGAAGAAAATAAAAGGAAATAAAACCCCTTGGGCTATTAAAATCTGCAACAAGCTGCCCTGGGAGACTGTTAAACCATATCCATTAGAGTTATTTAAGCCTTTATTAGTGTTTGTTCTGAATGAAATTCCAAGTGTTCCAGATCCAAAAGGGAAGAGGTTGATGATCTCTTTTCTTATGATACAAATTCATTGACATAACCCAGCTTCCCTTGTAAACATTTCCCTTGGCAGTACAAATGGATGATGCTTTTGAAAAAGTATTTGAAAATAAATAAATATACCCATGCCCTTTGACTGAACAACTTAACTTCTGGGAACCTATCCTATTTTACAAAGTGACCCGAAAAACTATCATACATTAAGATACTCTGAGCACTATGATTAGTAATCCTTGTGGAACTGGAGAGAGAAGCGCTGAAATATTTTCTTTTATCCACAAGAAGTGCTGAGACGTTGCCAAGTTTACCCAGTCTACAGAATGCTGCACAACTTGTTGAAAAAAAAATCATTTAAGAAAAAAGGATTGTCATGGCTGTAGATGAACAGACTGCTGCAAATTTAATGCAGACGGATATGAAAATATGCAACCATCGGAAAAATCAAAGAAAACCTTAAGAATAAACATTGAGATAATTGGCTTGGACTTGTGGCTATTTAGGTTTTTGTTGTTGTGGCTGTAGTTTGTTTTTTAACCTCTTTGTGTTTCTCAAGTTGTCAATAATAAACACGAAATGATTTCAATAGCAAAAGTTATTTGGCCAGAATATCTTCGCTCTGCTTTACAATATAACTGAAGCATGGGTCAGTGTGTGCAAACAGCAAGTTTATTTAGGACCAAAATATATAACACAATACAATATACATTCTTAGAGCAGCTTCTCAATTCTGTCTCTGAATCTTGTGTTCACCCAGCAGCTCTCTGGGGGCACCAATTCGATGCACTACTCTTAGAAGCTCATCTCTTCCCTTTCAAGCTCATGCTTTTAGTGCTTTGGAAACAACCAAAATTCTCTGAATACCCAATGAAGCCACACACTCAATGGTATTTCTTCCTTGGACAATCATCCACATGGCCCGGCTGAGGAAGTGAGATTGCACAGAGCTGGCCAGGCAGAACAGGCACTGGGAGCCATCTGCCCGTTCCAGAGCAGGCCTTTCTCAATGTGCTCTACATTGCATCATACCAGGGTTCTTGTAGTGCATGGATTTACAGGAAGGATGGCAACAACCCAAATAGGGATGAATGCATGTCTTCCATCAGACTGTTTGCTAAAATAGCCATGTGGCTGGGGAGTGCATCCCAGTAGAGCAAACAGGATGTACCGAGTCTTCAGGAGACGATGTGCCACCATAATGTAGGAAGAACATCATGGTGTGGCTGGAACAGATTGAAGAGGGACATTCACAACATGAGACTAGACAGGGAGGTGAAGCTCAGAATGAGTGGGCTTTGTCAGCCATAGTCATGGCCGAGGTGTTGACACCGAGTGAAGTAGAGGTGGGAGATATTGGAGGGTCAGAGCACTGGTGGAATGTCTGGAAGGTATGTTTTGGTATGATAAAGCTGACTGCAAGGGCTGGGAAGTTGGCTCAGTGGTAGAGCACTTGCCTTGCATGCATGAGGCCCTGGGTTTGATTCCTTAGCACCACATAAGCAAAAAGAAAAAGGCTGGAAGTGGCACTGTGGCTCAAGTGGTAGAGTGCTAGTCTTGAGCTGAAGAGTTGAGGGACAGCACCCAGGCCCAGAGTTCAGGCCCCACGCCAGGACCCTCCCCCCCCCAAAAAAAAGTTGACTGCAAGGGTGAACTAAAGGAAGTCAGGTGAACACAGTAACAAGATGGTACTTAATGATCACCTGAGCTGAGTGGTCATAAAAACATGCAGTCAGATCAGAGACAACATATAGTCCAGTTCTGAAAATACCAAAAAGATTCCCAGAGAACTCGAAGATGACTCAGTCTTTAAGGGTATCTATTTATTAAGAGTCTGAGTTCAACAGGGAGAAATGCTAACATCTTTTGAAAGAAGGAGTGTCTCTATCATTTCCTCTGCCCTTTCTAAAATATAACAGATGACAGAATGGACTAAAGACACCAGCCAGTGATAAGATTTGTCCTTAGGAAAGGAGCATGAATTAGGATTCACGGTCAGCCCCCGTGATCTAAAACATACTTCTATTTCCTACATTATGTTAAGTTAATGTGCCTATTCAACAGCCAGCTAAGAGACAAATCAAAAGGCTAAAATAAGCCATTTGCTTCACACTGTGTTCCCATGTTTTTACAAAAGAAATGAAACACTTCTTACAGAAGATCCTTGCAGGGTGGAACTCTTCCTCTTCGAAGTCTATAATCTTTGATATGGCATGCCGTGAAGGATCATGACATAATGTAAATATAGCAAGTCACAATGGATCACCTATACACCTTTCTACTTCCTCTATTTATGAATTTGTTCAATCTGAACTTTTAATAGGACCTCTGAGGTCGGCATGTTGTTTGTTTACTGGGTTTAAATTAATGGAATCAAAACTGCAAGGTTCTAGCCTTTCCTTAACAGGGAAAACACTGAAAGAAAGCTACTGAAATTTCCTCATCTGTTTTGGCTTAAATATCTTGTCTCTAAGGTCTGGGGATAGACTTAAAAAAATTAATAGCAATAGAGCCAAAACAAAGCCTTGGAAGATCTGTGTCCTTTGCAGTCTCTTTCAGCACCAGATGCCCTTCGTTTCTTCAGCTGCTTCCCACCTAATATTATTTAGAAACAAGTCAACTCAAAACTGCAAGCAGTGTTCATGGTTTTTAAAGGAATCTCAACCCTGTAATTAATTCCTGGAAAACATGTGAAATTATCTGGCAACAAGGATAATAAATCCTACATATTCTAAAAATAAACCTCAGAATTTAAAGCAAATATAACAAACTGATATTTTTTAAAAAGCTCCTCCATTTATATATGAATAAAGCAAGGAATGATGTTTGAGAACTTCCACAGCAGGATTCCCAGCCTTTGGGTTGAGATAAGGCCTCCAATAAACTACCTCAAAAGGAAACCCTAAACCACACTACAAAAACCACCACGTCTAAATTCT